CCAGACTCTAAAATACCTGGAACAAATAGTGAAGATATAGGTAAATGCTAAAATATCACAAATATTTTTTCAATTTATGTGGAAACTTGAATTAAAAAATATAATATAACTGTTTTATAAAAATCGATTAACATAATTAGAACATTTAATTTCTCCTTTAGCTGTAGAATTTTAAACAACAATAGACAATTTGGACATTGGCAACGAAAATGTAAATAATTCAGAAAAAGATTAAGTTTGAAAAAAAATTGCAAAGATATTGCTAGGGTTTCTCAAGCAGCTATTAGGTATGAATTATCAAACAGAGCTGCAGCTGCTTTGGTTTCTGAAAGAGCAGAATTTTTAAAAGAAAAATACTGATATTTTTGTTGATCACAACAAAATAAAACGAGGTAAGAATAAGTTAATGAAAGAAATTAGAGCTGAAAAAACAACAATGAATGATAATATCCTTTTTTTTTTTTTTTTTTTCGTTGACGAAAAGATTTAACTGAGTACATGAAAGAAGAAGATGGAAAATTACATCCATTAATTAACATTGGTGCTGACTCAGCAAATTTAAACACTGGTTGTAAAAAAAGTGTTATCCACTACCTTGAACATAAGTTGGATAAAAAACTAATATGGATAATTTGTGCTCTAAATACAAATACACTTCTTCTCCGACATCTTATGATTCAGCTTGACAGAAAAACTGCATCAAAAAATAACTTTTCCTGTTCTATTAGAAAACTTATAGGTAAGGTTACTAGCTTCAAAGTCAAAGTTAGCATAATAAAAATTGGATTTTCTAATGTAATGATAGATCTTGACTCTGAAGTTGTAAAATCGCTTTCAGATGATCAAAAGTATCTTTATGAAAATACCCATGCAATTAACGCAGGAGTTTTTCCAAGCAATCTTAAAGGCAAAGAAATTTAGCGACATTCACATGCAAGATGGTTGAATTTTGCAAATAGAATATGTTTACTTTGGTGCTCAGAAACCTTACTTTCAGTTGAAGAAACATATAATTTTCAACATCTGATGGAGTTCATTGTTGGAGTTTATGCACCAATTTGATTTGAAATCAAAATAAAGTGGAAGTGGACTGAAGGGCCTAACCATATACTCAAGCAATCAAAACTTCTTTGGCATCAAAGACTTAAAGTTAAAGACTTTGTAATGCCCTATGTTTTATCATCTTCATGGAATGCTCATAGTGAAAATGTTCTTCAAGCATTGTTATGTAGTCTAGAAAAAACAGAAAGAGAATTTGCAGTTAAAACAATTTTAAAATTAAGAGGAGATTCAGAATACGGAAACGCTAATGTAAGAAGTAGAAAACATCGTATACATAATGAAAATCCTGATTCACTTTTTGATCTAATTAATTGGAGTTTAGATGTACATGAACTTTTATCTACATTTTTATTGTCAAAGGATGAACTTTTAAAATACAATGATATCTCGATGTATTTACCTTGTTTTCCTGTTCATGGGCAAGCTATTAAAAGAAGTGTCCAAGAAATCACAAGAGCTTCTCAATTGTTATTTGGAAATAATAGAAGAGATAGTTTCATCAGAGCAACATTAGCACATCGAGAAATCCTGCCCGCGAATCAATCAAAAAAAAAGATTTAAGTTAATTTAGGCAATATAAATTTTTTTAGTTGTTTTCTTTTGCTTTGGCATATTATTTATGATCACATTAAATAAATTTAACATTAAATATATTCTTTCTCTTTTATGGCATTTTTTAAGGACCAATAAATTTTTAGCCCTTCAGAAGTTTCTGAACTTCAGTTTGTGAATTATTGTAGGAACTATATTATTTATTATTTATAGAGCAAGTTTTCCTCTTCTTTTAACAGCCAACACGGTATACTTACGTGTCCGTTTTTGTATGACTTTATGAAGAATAGCACCCAAAATTATGTTAATGCCTATATTATGTCTAATTGTTTTTGATGATTAAATCCCCATAGGACTAAAAAAAAAGAAAAAGGTGCAAATTTGATAAGTTTTGAGGAAAACATTTTTCAAACGCTCTGCGCCCACACATAACAAAATTTTAAAGAGAAAATTTTTTTTTTAATTTTTCATGTTTCTTCCAATATCCTATTACATAATTGAATTATTACGCGCTCTTCCATTTCTAACATTTATAAATTTTTTTTTTTCTTGTAGAATCCATAATGGTATCCAAAATTTTGAAAGTATGACGTACCCTAGTCAGTATGCGTGTATCAAAAGAAATGATTATAAAAAGAATTTTATAAATGTATTACTATTTGCGGTCTAAACACTAGAAAATAATTAATTAAAAACTGACCACCTGTGTCACAGCAAATATTGTTAATATTACAAATATATCATTAATATTACAAATATATAATATAAAACTAAGAAAGTGCTAAAAATCATGGCTGTAAGAGGTAAAAAAATATTGGTGCCATTATAACTAATTAGAATTAAGTAGTGAATAAATGGTGATCCCCCTCCTCAGGAATGCACTGTTATCACCAATGACGTTTTGAGGAGCCTGAGACCTGCGCTAACACCACTCGCCAGGGGTGTGTCCTTGAGGCAGATCTCACCACCTGTACTCCACATCATGCTAGTCAATGTTGCAATATACTAGGAATACTCTCGAGTCCTTAATATACGTGGGGCATTTTAGTCAAAATCTAATAAACAAGGGGGGGGGGAATTTTTTATGTTACAGTATAAGTATTTTTTATAAAAAATTTCAGTTTATAAATCCTAACTAATATTTTTTACAAACACGCATAAAACTATTTAATTATAGTATGGCTTGCGGTTAAATGTGCATTTTCTAACAGCTGTTTTATCATAATTTCCATAGGATTTAATGGCTGGTTTAAGTTTTATAACTTGGTGAGAAATAAACCAAGAGTTCATTATTGACAAATTGAGATTTACGATTTTTAAAGCCTATTTACGCTGAAAGTTTTTATTTTTATTGGTGATTGAAATAATTATTTTCTATTTTTTAAGGCCAATTTTCACTAAATTTTTTTTTTTAGTTTTGAGATAAAGTTTTTGTTGATAACAAGTAAAAATTAATGTTTCTCTTCCTATTATTAAAGACTCGAGAGTACACTTAAAAATGCCAAAAGTCTCAAACCCTATCCCAATATTAATGCAGCTCCAGCATTCTTACAAGATATCGTGAAGGTGGTGAGAGATGGGCGTGGTGTGGTCATGAATAAGTACATCAATACCTACACATATAAATATTGTGTGCACTTACACTAGAAGAGACAAACGTAAACACATGCATGTATGTACATACATTAAAATGAACAATTGCAATTTATAAAAATAACACAAAGCAAATAGAAAATAATAATTAAAAATGAAAGTAATTTACCATTTCTGTTAGTGAAGAGTGTATAGTGTAAACCACAATAAACTAACTTGTGATGTCAAATCAAGAAAATTAAATAGTAATGAAAAATCTAACAAGACTGTCTTTAATTGAACAAAATACAATTGCAATGAAAGATTTCAGCATAGTCAATATTAGTTTTGTCTACCTTTATCTAGTAGAATAGTTCAGTAGATTCCAAAGCAAGAATACATTTTTTATAAAAATACGCTACATATATCTGTGTTATTCTTGACATGTTTGCTATCCAGCCTAGTAATTGTAACAAAGGTCTGGTGTCAAGTGTGAGTAATTTTTAGCATTTTTTGCATATATATTATCTGGTATTTGTATCAAAGTTATCTCTTTGTTTTTAATACTTTGTTTTTGATTTTAAATACATTTATATATGGTTACAAAATGATTATTTATTCCTGGTTTTTTTTTATCCAGGAGCTTCATAAGTATTCCTCTATAAAGAGACTTATGGACCTTTTTTGAGAAAAATTAAGACTTTTAGGTTAGAGAAACAATGAGTTTGATCTGTAGTCCTTAGGTATAATGATGGCAAGGACATATCCTGTTGTCTTTGGATACTATTTTTTTGAATACTATTACTTTGAATACATATCCTGGTGAGTACATATCCTGAATATCCTTGAATACATATCCTGGTGAATACATATCCTGAATATCCTTGAATACATATCCTGGTGAATACATATCCTGAATATCCTTGAATACATATCCTGGTGAATACATATCCTGAATATCCTTGAATAAATATCCTGATTCTTTTGAATATTATTACTTTGAATACATATCCTGGTGAATACATATCCTGAATATCCTTGAATACATATCCTGGTGAATACATATCCTGAATATTCTTGAATACATATCCTGATTTTTTTGAATACTATTACATTGAATACATATCCTGGTGTCTTTGAATACTATTTTATATTTTATAATTTTCACCAGGATTTTGTACTAAAAAATAATAGGTTTCAAATAAATCTCATGAATTTGTTTCTTATTAGAGGTTATATTTCTCTTAACATTTTTAGAGCCTTTGACACCAGAGACCAGGAAATGTATGTAAAGTATGAGGTTTAGTGTATGTATGATTTGGCTTCCTCTATGGAGTATGATTTTTGCATTTTTATTGCATGCCCGTTGCTTATATAACATTATTACTTTTGTTACACAATTTACTTTTATTTTATTTCAAATGTTTTATCACTCTTTTTAGTTTGTTTTCTTATTTCACTTAGGTTTGGCAGCTCGGTTTAGTCATTTGATGCAACTGTTAGCATTTTTTTGAATACTATTTTATATTTTACAATTATTTTTAATTATAATTAATATTTATAATTATTAAAAAAAAATTAATTTAAAAGCTAAAAAATTGTAAAAATTGTAAAATTGTTTTATTAAATACAAATTATATTTATTTTTTTTTATTTTTTTAATTACAGTTTTGTTATAGAAATTTTATAATCACTTCAGCTTAACTCATTTCTGTTATAAATAATCAAATTTAACTTATTTTTTCAAAAATGATGTTATACTAGAGTATAGTTTAACATAAACTTTCGCAAAATTCTATTTTTGTTTTATTCAGGTACTTCAATTGGTTTTATTGCGTTTGGAGAGAACAAAGAACTAGCAAAAAAAATTAGAACTTTTATTGCATTAGCACCTGTGGCAACAGTTGGTTATATTAAAGGTGCTATCAAGGCAGTTTCTGTTTTTGCACCAGAACTTGAGGTTAAAAATATAATTTATTTTATTTTATTTATACTATTTTTTAAAATTTGATTTACTAATGATTTGTACATAAATATATAGTTGTGCTGAGGTGAGGATCTACTTAGATGTTGACAATATAGTTGTGCTGAGGTGAAGGTCTACTTAGATGTTGAGTGATATAGTTGTGCTGATGCGAAGATCTACTTAGATGTTGAATGATATAGTTGTGCTGAGGTGTATATCTACTTAGATGTTGACAATATAGTTGTGCTGAGGTGAAGATCTACTTAGATGTTGACAATATAGTTGTGCTGAGGTGAAGATCTACTTAGATGTTGATGATATAGTTGTGCTGTCGTTTTGTTTAATTACATAAATACTCATACATTTTTTGTAAATATATTTAACTGTTACATCGGCCGATTATTCAGTGAGTTAATTTGAACAAATACTGGATTAGTTAGAAAATGATAATGTGCCAAGCATAATGTAATCAAGCGATTCAGAGTAAAAAGTGGAGTTTCTGTCATGCCAAACAATTCTGAGAGTGCAGTTGATGTGGTTCAGCTATTTATTGGGGGCGGTTCATTTAAATATATGGTGACAGAAACAAATTGCTACCACACACAAAATATACAGTTATTTAAATGGGAACCATTCATTGGAATGCAAAAAAAACTGTTTTGCGTTTGTGTTCCAAAATAAAAACTCACACGCAAACTCAAATCATTTGATGCAATTTATTGTGTTTACTTACGTAAATGTAAACGCAATATACGCAAATAACTGCTTTTATGCACGTATTCAATATGCAACTTACGCATATAAAATGCGTTTAACGCGTATAAATACGTTTGTAAACGCAACTGAAATGGAATGTATATATATATATATATATTCCATTTCCTTTGCTGTATCACAAAATTTACAATAAGAAATTAATTGTATATATATCACATATATATGTACGATATGTACTAAAACTACTTATTTTGGCGCAGTGTTCTCGCCCTTCATTCTTTGTACCTTACAGTTTAATTTTTTCATTTCATTTTTTTTTAACAATTGTTTTCATTCTCTTATTTTTTCATGTTTAGGATAAGGTGGGGCAAGATGTCCATAAGTTGCATTTTCTGTTCATTTGAATAATATTATTTAATTCCTTTTATATACTATTGTTTTAGATATTTACATATTCAAACAAATAATTGGTTTTAGTCAAGTTATAACTTTTCAAAGGATTTTGTTAGTAAATTACAAGAAAAGTTATAACTTTATATATAAAAATTTAAAACAATAGAATATATGGAATTAAACAATATTAATCTACCTAGGTCTCATAAATGCACAAGGGACATGACTTTAGGAACATCTTGCTCCACTAAAAGTTTAAAAAAATACTTTATTGTATTATTATTATTATTTGTGTGATTATGATAAAGAAATATTTGTTTTGTGGGTAATTTATTCCACAATATTCAAAGTATAAAAATTATAAAACTCCATCAATAAAACTAGGTTAAGGAAATTTTTTTTATGTGTGTGGAGCAAAACGTCCTTTGATTATTTAGTTTTAAAAACTTTTAGGTAAGTTTATTTCTTTTGATACAAAACATAAATATTAAAACTAAATATTTACAGGGTGTTTTACCTGACACTTAAAAAGCCATATTCCCCTTTTTACTAAATACTATGTTATTCTGTTTGTAAAATTTTTTTTTGAGATTATAAATTTTTTGTAGATCTTTTCCCAGCGATGGGCAATTAATTCCCTTGAATAATTGTCCTATTGTATGTTTTTTATTTTATGTATAAAAAGGATCGCTTAAAATGAGAAATCAACCACAAAAACACAATGTAATTGGTCGGCACACATGCACACTTTAAAAATTGCTTAAAACATAGGAAAACTTATTTTCCACTCACAAATTAAACGCAATACTACTCAGTTGTATATTGTACTATTATTTTAACCAAAACTATTTTTAGAAAAAAGTATAACTAAATACCTTTAATTAGTAAGCTCATTTCAATTATTATAAAAATTTGACTAAATTCACTTAATTTAAAAACATAATACACTTATTTTAAAAGGAATCATTATAATGAGAAATTAAATATAATTTTTAACAAATTTAATCTATAATTATTTTATAAATTTGTTATAAAATGACCTAAAAGCATATAAAATCACATAATAATTTGCAATTATTTTTAAGTCTCAAGAAAAAAGAGTTGAAGAAACGAAAGGTGGCGATAGTGCATATGAAGATGATCTATTCCCTAACCAAGAGGTTGACCTTTATATTGAAGAAGCAGATAATGAGCAGCTAAAAATATATGAAGATGAAGTCTTAAATATTGAAATTCAAACCTCTGAACTTCTTGAAAAGCTAATTATTGAATCAAGGAAGCTTACTTTTACAAATGTTATTCAGTTAGCCAAAACAACTGAGGAAGTAAACATCAATTATGACTTTAACGAAGATAATGAATACGATCTTCATAGTGCTGAGCTAATTAAAGATCTTGAAATTGAATTGGGAACATCGAAACTACTGCGATTTTCTTGCGCAGTTCATAAAACAAACATCGCTATTAAGAAACAAAAATATATGTGTTGTTTACTTACAACGCTTTCAAAGTACGCAACAAGCACATATCAATCTATAAATAGCGTTCAATACCACATAAAAAATAAAGCTAAATTACAAACAAGTTGTGATGGAATTTATTTGGTCAGCTGCTTTACTAATGTTACAGAGTTTTCAAAGTGCTTATAAAAGAAATGCATTCTATCCGGAAATTCAATGTCCTATTGAATTAGATATGCTTGAACTGTACCTACAAATCCCTCTTCGCGCATATCAGTTCAATTTAATTGTACAAAAGAATCTTTCATCGATTGCTGATGTTTTTCCTGCATTGACTATTATGATTTTAGAGTAGAGTAGAATGGAATTACAACAAAATGGAAAATAATTAGCTAACTTGTTAATTTCTTCTTTTAAATTAAATTTTCAGTACGAACTTAACTCAAAATTTATCAAGTAGCATCACTGTTGAATATCTCAAAACTTAAATTGTGGTTCTTTAGACCTGATTGCCAATATATTGTTAAAGGTATTTAGTTATTAAGTTATATTATTTAAGCCAAAAAAAAACTTTAAAATTTAGTTTATATATTAATTTATTGTATTAAAGTTTGTATTACAACCTAAAATTGTTTAGGAACAGTAGAAAAGCTACACGAAGTCCTGAAATTCATTACAACTCATAATATTTATCAAAGTGCTTCAGAAGATATGAGCTTACACAAACGAAAGAAAGATTGAGTTCAAATGATTAGCAAACTGATTCATTTGGCGGATTTATTCTAGATGATAACAATTGCCCAGAATCTAGGCAGCCTAATTCACAACTTTATTTACTTGAAATTGAAAAAGAAAAACTTTATTTTTTTAAGCATATCGAAGAGAAATAACTTGCTATATTTGTGTATCCTTCTTATCATTTTTGGTTTGAAAATTCTAATGCCAATGTTACAAAAGCTATTTGTCACTTTACTAAATATTCCATCATCTGCAGCTTTTATATAGATATTTTAGTACTTCTGGTTTTGTATGTGAGAAGACACGAGGCAACATGAAGTAGCTACTTAATAATTCGTGTTTTCTTGAAAAGATACATTTTTAAAAATAGATTGTGTAAGTCGCGTTTGTGTCAAGTTTGCAAACGCATTTATACATATAAGTTGCGTTTGAGTTACATTTATAAACACATTTTATATGCGTAAGTTGCGTATTAAATGTGTGCATAAATGCAGTTATTTGCATAAATTGCGTTAACGTAAGTAAATGCAATAAGTTGCATCAAATTGCGTGTGAGTTTTTATTTTGTAACGCAAAATGCAGTTTTTTTTGCGTTCCAATGTATGGTTGGAACTAAAAAAAATTATAAAATAGTAATATGTAAAATAATAAATAATATGTAAAATATTAAAGTAAAATATAAAAATAATAAATGAAATATAATAAATAAATCATATCAAATAAATATGCAATATATAAAATATAGAGTACAGAAACGTCCAATATAATATAGTATACAAAATATAATAGATAAAATATGGCATATAAGTATACAACATTTAAAATATACAAACAAGTTCAATAACCAAACATTTTCTTAAACAAAATACATTAGTTAAGCAGTGGTGGATCCAGGAATTTTTGGTGGGGGGGTGGGGGGTGGGAATGTTAAAATAATTTTGTATTTTGTATCACATTTGTATCTGGTGGGGATGCATAACCCTAACCCCCCCCCCTCTTCCATCACTGTAGTTAAGCGACTAAGTTACTTCTGTTACTTCTGTTTTACTAATAGCTCAAATAGTTATTAAATTTTTGGTTGCGGTTTTTCAAATAAAAAAATTTAAATTAGGTACTAAAGCCTGACCCGCTGATAAACACCTGTCCGCGCAACAGATACTTATACCCAACCCACTCAAAAAGTGTTAATATATATTTTTAAGAACGCATTTAATCTTTTATTCTGATGTTTAAATCTCAAGTTTTGATATTTTTGAAATTTTATTGGATTTTAATATTTCTTTTTAAATTTTTTAGTGTTATTATAACAAATTTTGATAGTATTATTGGATTATTGTGGCTTTTAATAATTCTTTTTAAATTTTTTAGTGTTATTATAACAAATTTTGATAGTATTATTGGATTATTGTGGCTTTTAATAATTCTTTTTAAATTTTTTAGTGTTATTATAACAAATTTTGATAGTATTATTGCAAAAAATTTTTTACAAATGTGTTTTACAAATGCATTTTCATTTCAAAAAGCAACCTTAAAAAACAAAGTTGGTTTAACTATGAGTAAATAAAAAAAATTTATTTTGCAATCCATAAAAAGATTATGTAAATATGAAAGTTTGAATAAAACCATTTATTTAATATCTCAATAATAGTTTTTACAAAAGATTTCATAGTTAGAATTAACTATTATCAAATAAATTTATCAATTTTAAAAACTAAATATAATTACATTTTCAAAAATTTTTTTTTTTTTTAACATTTTCACTTCCAACTGGCTGCAAGCAACCATTATTAGAGTTGGAAGAGAAAAGATGAAGTTTATTAAGCAAGATAATGATTAACAGACAACTTGAAAAATTGCAAATTCTATGAATCAGGAAAACAAGGCAAAGAGAGCGAATTCCAAAGAACTGATGTTCGAGGAAAAAAACTAGATAAATAAGAATTTTATAGAGCACTTAAGAACAGTCATAGTAAAAGGATGAGACTTAATTGAATTTATTGAGTAACACAAGAATTAATTTTAGTAGATGGCACAAGCAGTGTCCATTATATTATTTTTAGAAAAGAGAAAGAGAAGCAACATTACAACAATGTTACAATGGTTGAAGGTTGGCTGCAAAAGCAGGTCCAACTATGTTTACAATGCGTTTTTGCACCTTGTCTAAAAGAGAAAGGGCATCATTTGAAGATCTGCTCCAGATATGGCAACAGTATTCCATACAAAGATGGATTTGAGATTTATAGAGATTAAAAATAGAATCCTGAGTATGAATGTGGTTAGCACAATAAACATATGCAACTTTATTAGATGCTAATTTTCCAATAGATTTGATTTATGGTTTCCAAGAAAGATTGAAAGTAAGAGTTATTCCTAAAAGACAAAGGATAGGTGATATATATATATATATATATATATATATATATATATATATATATATATATATATATATATATATATATATATATATATATATATATATATATATAGAGAGAGAGAGAGAGAGAGAGAGATCTAAATTTTGATCTAAAAATTGTTACAATAGCATTAGCTGATTAAAATTGAGTTTTATCTAAGTTGAAGTTCACCAGCCACTGAGAGCCCATGCTATAGCAGAAGTGAGATCCTTTTCAATTGCCCCCTCTAAGCAATCAGAGAGAGTTGGCTTTTTATCATAACAAGAATAAATAGTAATATCATCAGCAAACAATGTCACCTTAGATGTGAGAATTTCTGGGAGAACGTTAATGTAAATTAAAAAAAGTATAGGACCTAGTATAGAACCTTGAGGAATCCCTGAAGTTACAGGATATAAAGAAGAGTGCAGTCCATTGAGGACAAGTTTTATACTACAATTGGTAAGGAAGGGTTCAATAGTCTTAAAGATATTACCTGATACGCACTAAGAAGAGAGCTTATGGAGAAGACCGGCATGTTAAACTTTATTAAAGGCTTTAGAAATGTCGATAGCAATAGCCTCAGCCTCTCCTCATCTATCTAATGCATGATAAAACATATTTGTTATTACCGATAACAAGTCAGCAGTAGAACAAGGAGATTAAAATCCATCTTGATGATCATAAAGTAAGTTATTAGATTCAAGATGAGAGATTAAGTGATTGTTAATTAAAGACTCAAAAATCTTGCTTATAATAGAAAGAAGACTAATGGGATGGTAGTTAGATGAGTCAGATTGCTTTCCAGAGTATAATGATATAAGTGATGCAGATATAATTGATATTAAAAAAAATATAAATATGTCAACCAATAAAGAAAATAAAGACAATTTATAATATGCAAAATGATTTTTCAACAAATTACTAATTTTTAATTTTTAAAATTTTTAAAAACATTTTCTTTCATAACAAAAAATAGATTTTTAAAGTAAAATTATTTAAAATAAAATTTAAACAACTATTATTACTATGTAAATAATAATAATAATAAAAACCATTATTTGTATAAATGTTTAAAAGTTGACTGGTTAAAAAATCCCCCTAAAAAGTATATTTTATAATGACTAAAGTTCACTAAAAATGCAAATTATGAGTTGCCCCTATACAGTTCTTTTTCATGCATAACCAACACAAGCCAAATGTCCAAAGTGGTTATCATTAAAGACTATTACTTATAAGACCATGATAGGCCGTGCACATTAGTCAAATTTATTTAGAGAAAATAATTTAAGAAAAATATAAATTTGTTTCATCACAAAGCTACAGCAGATGTTATAAAATGGTATTTTAAAGTTATTTAAAAAATATATATATACTTTTAAGTGATTTAAAATTTTTTTTTTTTTTTTATTCAATTTAAAAAACAAATTATACTTTGTTTAATTTAAAATTAACAACTGTTGATTACTAATGACTTTTCAACCTAAAGTTTTACAAAAACTTTTGAAAGTTTTATCTAAATTTACTAATAACAATTTTTTACAAAAATGTAAAATTAGTTGCTTTTTATAAGTTCACATATAAGTTAAAATTTTACTAACTTTTCATAAGGAAACAACTCATAACTAGAAGTATAAGTTCACATATAAGTAAACAAGTCATAACTAGAAATATATAGATTTGGGTAAGCTGGCTAGTTTTTTTTTTTTTCTTCAAAAAATAAAAATTCAAACTGTTATTTAACATAAATGGATAAACAAGGTTTGTAGATCTTTATGACATAAACACAAAGTTTTTGTATTTTGAAAATAAGCATATTTGTTAAATAGTGTTTCAAACTCTTGCACGTTTTTGTAATATTAGTTAACTGTGAATCAATGGAATCTAATTTTTTATAACAATAAATTTCTTTTTAGATGTTTATAGATTTATTTGGAATTTATGATTTCCTTCCGTCAACACCTTTTGTACATTATCTTGGTGAATATGTTTGTGGTTTGTGGAAAGTGAATGAGGAAGTATGCAGTTCTTTAGCTTTTCTAATTGCTGGATATGACACTACAAATTTAAATGAAACAAGAGTTCCAGTTTATTTGACACACCTTCCTGCTGGAACGTCATCTAAAGATATGATTCATTTTGCTCAGGTATTTTGTTCAACTTTATTATTATTATTATTTTTTGCTTTTTATTTTATTGATAATTAATGATAATTATTTATGCAAGGAAATTCAAAAACAAATAGATGGACTTGGATTATTCAAGAGTTATAAGGAGATTATATTTTAAATTATATTTTTATATTTTAACCTTGTTTATTTTCGAGGAGTTAGCCGAATAATAATAAAACAACAATGGTTTACTTGATCATATATTCATAAAAAAATATAAATATATTTTTTATTATTTTAAATTTAGTTTAGTTTGTTTTACTGATTAAACTTCAGCTACCCTTTAGCTTTCACAGTAAGGACCAGTAAAATAAAATCATTTTATTTAAATATCAATACCACCACCAAATCTACATGAAATGGTTCAAAGCTAAGTTTTGTGATCATTGTAAATTGCTTATTTTGTTGTAATTTTATAAAGAAAAGCGAGACTTAATAAGGTTTTTTAAAAATTACCAATTTTGGTTTTGTGTTATTTTTATTATTTCAGATATTTCTTCAAATAGAAATTAAGAAATAGGATTTGAAATTATATAGACATATGCTAAAATAAATTATGCAATAATTTATATAATTCTGATGCCTTTTCATTTGAATAAAGGTTAAGTTCTGCCAGTCCTTCCAGCGACACCACAAGTTGTCATTTACCGGTTGTGCTTAATGAGAAAAATAGTTTCTGTTAAAACTAGAAAGTAAAAGGTGTGATAACGTTGTGCTTTAAAATTGAGCTATGTAAATGTAAAGAAATACACATAAACAGAAAATACAATCAGTGTGAAAACTAATTTGTTGGATTAGTAACAGAAATTAATCCTACTATATTAAATCTTGCCATGGCTACAAAAAATATGGACAAAAATATATGCTTTCATTTTAACAATCACTGGTTTACCAATATTTTTAATTAGTAATAACTTATAACTAACTAGTAATAAAAACTGTTAAATTATAAAAAATCAAATCTTGAACATTTCTTTTTTAACAAAACACTGTTGCCATTAGATACTTATGTCATAAAATTACAACAAGACATTTGTTGAATGTCCTTGACATTCAATAAATGTATACAGTCTTAAGGTAAATACAATTTTACATTTTAAATATTTAATGGATACAGTCAAACAGCAGTTAGCATTTCTGTTTCTCGAAAAACAATGAAACTTGGGAAAATTTCTAGGGATGTAAAAGTAGCATCTATTGATGGCAATACAGTTGGTGCAAAAAGTATGAGTGATAAAAATAAGGGCTTTGTGTCTCGTTTAAAAAATAGTATTAAACATAATATTATCTGTTTTCATTGTAGTACCAGGAGTTGCTGTGTGCACAATCATTTTCTTTTGAGAGATAGTGGACTTATTAGTAAAAATAATCAAACAAATTGATTTTAAAATTTATAACTTATAATTTATAACAAACAGAACAAGAAAACTTGGAAAAGATAAAAAGAAAAATTTGCAATAGACCATTAATTGACATAAGTTTGAACCTTGTCTAGAAAAGGAAGAGTGTCATTAGAAGAACCAGTCCAAATAAGAAAACAGTATTTCGTACAAGGGTGAATAAGATATTCGTAGAGGTAGAAAATGAAATCATGAGTAAAAAAATGGTGAGCTCGATAAAGAGAAGCAACCTTAGCGGATGCTAACTTAGCAATCAATTGTATATATGGTTTCGATGAGAGGGTCACTAGTGAATGATAATCCAAGAAGACGTAAAACAGAGGACTCAATGAGAGGGTTGACATTCATCAATATAGGGTAGTTGTTTGCAGAAATTAACTGAGTTTTGTTGGAATTAAAATTCGCACACCACTGCAAGCCCTTTATTTAAAATTCACACATTACTGCAAGCCCACTTTTTGCCAAGACAATACGACCTCTTCCTTAAAAAACCTTTACATTCAGACCCATTTTTAGCATGCTGGATTATGTAAGAAATGGTTTTTCCTACAATTTTTTCGATTTTAAATTAATCCAGGGTGAACTTCTCTCCGTTAGATCGATGTTCTAAATAAAACTTGTAAATTCTTTTCTGTTAGCTTCTGGTTTTGACGTCATTTTCTAAAAAATATTTAACTTTTTTTACAAAAAGTAGTTTATATAAAGAAAGAGTATTAAGTTTGTAAAAAAATAAATAGTATTTAAAAACAAAAAAAAGATTATGAGTTTACCTTTTTTAAGCTTTAAACAAACTAAGTTACTTATTATTGTATGATACCAATTCACGTTCTCATGTTGTTACATTATTTTCATGTTTCTAATGTGCTTTATAGTACTGATGTACTGATATCAAAATCTAATTAATCATTTTTCAGAAACCTAGTTTACATAACTTTGACATTTCACGTTTAAAATTGATTCACGCTTTATATTAATCAAAGTTTTCTTGAACTAAATAACATACGGAAATTTTTTAATTTTAAAGGCCTTCTAAAATTATATTAAAGTTGTCATATATTCAAGAGTATTTGTAATAATTTCGAAAAATTAATGTAAAATAACCTTTTTTAGTTAGTGATTGTACTCCTTACCCTCCTATGCATACGCTTTATGTAAACACTTTCTCCGCTTAACTTTGTTCATACTTTATAGTCAATTTTAAAAAAAATTTATGTATTTAAACTTTATCATTTGGTTTGCTTGAGGTTATTTGAAGTATTTAAATTTTTTAATAAAAAGCTTTGCATTTCTATGTATTAAAAACCTATTACTTAACGTTTTTGTTTAAAATCTAGATGGTAAAAAGTGGAAAGTTTCAAAAATTTGACTACGGAAAATCAGAAAACATCAAGCGATACAATCAGGTAATAATTGTTACTAGCTTTTGTTGAATCATTTAAAAAAGCATTTATATTTGATCAAATTCTTTATAGGAATATGCGCCATCATATAATGTTAGTAAGGTTGAAGTTCCTGTTGCTCTATACACAGGGTCCAATGATTGGTTAGCCGACCCTACCGATGTTAATACTAATCTAAAACCTTTTCTCTCTAACGTAATACTTCATAAAAATATTGATGCTTGGAATCACCTGGATTTTGTTTGGGGTATAAATGCCAAAAATATGATCTATTTAGACATAATCGAAGTTATGAACAAAATGAAAAAAATGTAATCATTCTAAATTATCGAAAGGGGTTAAAAATTGTAAGAACGAAAAAAAATAGCGAGATTCGATTTGAAATATTTTTTTGGAAATTCGTTTAAACAATTCAGAAAATCGTAGTTTTGTATTTTAAAAATTAAAGCTTATTTAATCTTATATTTCTTTCATTTTCTCAAAACAGCGACTTTGCAAATGGATCTTTTTTTGCATATATAAAATAATATTTTCCGAAGTATTATTATTTTTTTTCTTTTTTTTTTCTTTATGTGGTTATGTCCACTGGTTTAAGCTAAAAGATTATTTTTTATCTTTTCAATTATATTTCTTGATTTTATTAAATTATGTTAAATATTTTAACTTTAGGAAACAATTTATTTTTAATTTACTGTTTATGTATTGGTTTTAATGTTTATATGTTATGGGTTTTATTTAAGGAGCAATTTTTCACATTTATTATGCAGAACATTTGTTACTCAGAATGTGATTATATTTTAATCTCAAGTAAAATTAATAAAATATAATGATATTTTTAATTCACTGTCATTTTAATATTTTTTGTCTGGCGTTTTTTGAATACACTTTCAATACACGGCCGACGACACGGGTTTCGAAGTGAAGGGACACAATCGGCAATTTCTAAAAACAAGTCGTCTATATCTTGAATTTTTTTTTTTTTAAAAAAAAAAAAAAATAGTCCTTTAGAAAAAAAGTGGAGAGTGCGGGGATCACGTGTCCCTGGCCCTTCCTTCTTTCCCCCTCCCCTCACCCCTGGTGTTGTTGGCTCTGCGATACGCCACAGAACACGGTCGTTTAGATATTAGTAAAAAGCGCTATGTTTAGGTACGCATGCGTAAGAAAATACAAAAAACTTTCAAACTTTTAAAATGGCTACGGTACTTAACTACAGAGAATATTTTATATGGCAACAGATTATTTGTTAATTAATTTCTGAAAAGCCAATTATGTAGCCTTATGTTTAACGTAAATCAATATAAAAATACAAAAGTTTTACAAAAAAATATAAATAAATAGAGGTAACAAATATCTCTACGCGTTTAAACTTTATTTTTATTTAATACCTTTTTAGTGTAAATCATAGATTTGTTTTTTTATTTGAAATCAATTTTCTAAAAATCTGACTGTAGGATTTCAATAATTTTTTTTTTTAAACTTCAGATAAATATGTTCTTTATGTATGATATTTTTCTGGTCAATGCTTCAATTTTTTTTCCATATAAAAATTTGTTTTTACTGTTATGACTATTTCCATATATATCAAAGTGCAATTTCATTAATTATTTTGTTAACCCCTTAAGTGTGTCTGACGGATATATCCGTCTTTCATTGGTGTAGCTCTATGTGTGTCTGAAGAATATTTCCGCATTTTGGAACTGTTGCACCGTTTGTGACTGACGGATATATCCGTTTTTTATATGAGTTAAACAACAGATCAGATATGATATGTTAAATGGTTCTTTGTTTATTCCTATTATGTTATAGCTTTTAACAAAAGTATGGTCTTCATTTTGTACTCTAGAGTTTTTCAAAGTATAGCTATTAGCTTGATATAACAATGCTTTAGTTTAGTGAAAAAGTAAGCATGGCTGCGGCAAGAAAATCTTATCCTAAAAGAAGTAAATATTCTGTTCAAGATCTAGTTGAATATACAGGAGAAAATGATGAATTATCTGATCTCAGTTCTAATAGTGTTTCTTCTAATGAAGGTTCAATTATATCTGTTACAGAAGAAGAAATTATGTGTACATCAGCAGATAATGATAGTGAAACTAGCCTTGTTGACATTGATGTTATGCAATTAAATCAAAAAAATACAAACGATGAACCAAATTGGATAAAAATAGATGGTTATAAAGCAAGTTCTGCTAAATTTGAAGGTAATCCAGGACCTGATCCAAGTTTTCTAGTTAATAGCAGTCCTCTTACTATATTTGAAGCATTTGTAACAGACGACCTTGTTGATCTTATTGTCGAGCAAAGTAACCTTTTCGCAGTACAATATCTAAAAAATAATGTAATTAAAGGTAGATCTCGAGTTCAAAAATGGACACCTTTAGTCAGAGCTGACATCAGACTCTATATAGCATTCATTTTATATCGTGGAATCCTATGGAAACCAACAAATGCAATGTATTTTTCAACAAATCCTCTGTTTGACACACCTTTAATAAGAAAAGTGTTATCTTTTGATAAGTTTTGTCTTATTGAGAAGTTTCTTCATTTTGTTGATAACAGTAGTTTACCAATACATTCCTGTAAAAAAGCAAAAATTGAACCCATCTACGACTACCTAGTAAACAAATTCAAAACTCTGTACATACCAAATAAAAATATATCGATCGACGAATCGTTGCTGCTTTGGAAAGGTCACCTAAGCTGGAAGCAATACATTCCAAGCAAACGTTCCAGATTTGGAATGAAGTCTTTTGCATTATGTGAATCAGCTACTGGGTATATTTGGAATTGTTTCTTGTACACTGGTAAGGAAATGACTGACGGTTTTGCTCTTGACATGCACAAATACAAGTATCAAGCTACTAAAATTGTTATTACGCTAATGGATAATTTAATTGGTAATGGCTATTGTTTACATGTTGACAACTGGTATACATCTTATGAAATTTGCAAGGTATTACTGGATCATAATACTGATTGCATTGGCACATTACGTATTAACCGAAAACAGTTACCACAAGATATAAAAAATGCTAAGATTAAAACTGGCGATACTTTAGTTCGTTTTGATACTAAAACAAATATAATGTGTACCAAATGGAAAGACAAAAAAGATGTACACATGCTGAGTACCTGTGTTCAAAATGATACAGTCGTTGTTAATAGAGCTGGTAAAGAAAAAAATATTCATGAGTATAACAAAAACATGGGTGGTGTTGACCGATCTGATCAAATGTTAACAACATACGAATCCGAAAGAAAAAGGGTGAAAAAATGGTACAAAAAGATTTTCATGCATTTGATTAGTGTTAGTGCATTCAATGCAAATATTATAAACAATAAAATATCACCTAATATGACATCCTTGCAGTTTAGAGAGTCCATTATTAAAGAGAGTATTGTCAAGTACCATGAATCAGTTGAGAAAAAAAGAAGTCGAACTCGAGTATTACCATCTCCTTTAAGATTAGTAGAACGTCATTTTGTCGATGCTATACCAGCAACAGAAAAAAATATAAAACCATGTAGAAGGTGTGTTGTCTGTTCTGAAAACAAAGTTAGATCAGATACCCGATATATGTGTGTAGACTGTAATGTTGGTTTATGTGTTGTGCCTTGTTTTAAGTATTACCATACAAAAGAAAACTTTAAAGGTTTTTGTAAATAATTAATATTTTGTTATTATATTCTTAGTGTTTTACAAATCTGAGTTTTATCTTTTTATTAAAATTTGTAAAAATTTTAGTTCTTCATTAATATTGTTATCAAAAAATTAGAAATGCAATTTTTTTTTTTTTTTTTTATTATACAAATTTAGCGTTAACAAAAATATTTTGCCGTAAATAACAACGCGATGTTTAAATTTACGCCACAGTTAAGGGGTTAATTATTACTTTTCTTTGTTAATTACTACTATCTCTCTCTCTCTCTCTCTCTCTCTCTCTCTATATATATATATATATATATATATATATATATATATATATATATATGTATATATATATATATATATATATATATATATATATATATATATATATATATATATATATATATATATAGATATATATATATAGATATATATATATATATAGATATATATAGATATAGATATATAGATATAGGTATAGATATATAGATATATATATATAGATATATAGATATATATATATATATATATATATATATATATATATATATATATATATATATATATATATATATATATATATATATATATATATATATAGATATATATATATGTATGTATGTATATCGCTCTATTTAAAATATCTTTATTCGCTTTATCTCTCGCTCTCGCCAACACTCCCCTAAAATGGTTTATGGGAGCAATTTACAGCTCTCGCAAAAGTATAACTTATCTTACGAAAGTATAATTATCGTTATAATTAAAACAAAAAACACTATTTAATTTATAAAAAAAATAATTGAATATTATTTTGCAATGCTTTTCAAAAAACAGGGTTGTTGCAAAAAAAATTAAAGTTAAAAAGAGCGCCGATTTATATAAGGAGCAGCTCGCACAGCTCCCCAAGTTCGTTTTAGGAGAGCTTTTCTTTGCTCTTGTAATCATTTATTCCCGTCTTAGTAAGCCTTAGTGACACACACCCCCTCCTTCCATCAATGATTTTTAGTCGGCAAATTGGACCCTTTTAGACTAGTTAGTCGGCAAATGTCGACCCTTTCGATATAGGTTAGTCGGTAATCTAGACAGTCGGCAAATGTCGTCATGGCAGTCGGTAAATTTTCAAAAACTAGGACTTTTTTTTTTTTTTTTTTAGTCGGCAAAAGTTTTAATGGCACCCCCCACGTAACACCTACTCGCGCCGGCCCTGTATATATATATACAGTATGTGTATATATAATATATATTTTAAAAGTGAAAAAATTATTAAATTCGAACTATTCTACAAAAAGTTATAACATTTTTGATATATGGATTTGTTGAAGAAACTGTGATCAAAATTTAATTTTTCTTCACTTAAATTGTTATAACTTTGTCAATTCTTATCTAAATAACTATAACTTGGTATCAAAAGATAGGTGTAATAGTGGGCTACAAATTTATAAAATCGTGCAACTATTGGGCGTTTCCGGAAGGTTAGATGGGGTGCCGAACCACTACCTTCACCCTAAAAATAAGCATATTTCTTTCAGTAAAGAATGTTTTTTTTCTGTAATTTTTTTTTATACAAAAAGTTGCTATAATTTTATTCCAGACTAACAACAATCATTGATGTATATTAAAGTTGATGGTGGATATGCTGGTGATGGTTTAACACACCTTAATTTTAAAAATATTTAATTTTTTAATTATAAATAATTATTTCTATATTTAATCAAATAAGTGAAACTAGTAACAGTATAAAAAACATTTAAATTTTTTTTTACAAGAATTTTACTTATTGGTGGTGTGCTCATTGACTTGTAGGAGGGTCGTGTGCCTCCCCCCCTCCCCCACCTAAAAAAAATAAATAAATAATATAAATATTTACAATAACACTTACAACTATTTTAAAATGAGTTAACAAAATTTAAAACCTGAATTAGGCTTTGGTACCAGGTATAACCTAGAAGCTAAAGTTGAAGACCACAACCAAGCCTACTTTTGAAAAAAAATGTCTTTTCGCTGCAATTTGTAAATTTTGGTTAAGTTGAGAAGTTTGTTGAATAGGGTGGTGATGGTTACCCACATCCTAAATAAAAAGATGTTGAGTCTTAAAAATAATTGTGTCTTTAACAAACAAAATAAATTAATATATTTTATTTTTTGATATTTCATTAAATATACTTTATTTCATTACCAAAAATATCAGTGTTGTATCCTATAAAAAAAAATGTAACCATCAATTTTATATTGTTCTGTATTAAAACATTTTAGATACCCTAAATTTAAATAGTTGTCTTGGCTTTTAGTAAATAATTAAAATAATCAATTTCATAAATGAAACACTATTTAGATTTTTCCCTTATTTTATTACTACTTTTTTTGTGCCCTGGTTTTGTCTTTAAAAATATGGTCGTCTTACTGATTGTAGGTATGTAGCTACTTATTTAATATTATGTAACTGAGATTGGGAAACGGTGAGCATTCAACACAACATTCACGAAACGTTTTATTTTCCGGCAGATCCTTGTCGGTTGTTAAAAAATTTACAAATCCAAGGTTTTGTTTAAAGTTAATGAATCTAGAAGAGATTGCAGATAAGTTTCTTTTGTTTTCATGAATGTATGCAGACAAAAGTCTCGGTTGAAATCATATGTGCGTGTACGATATAAACTAAATATCATGTAAAATTTTTTTCATATTTTTGCACCATACACGAAAAAATGGATATTCGGCTGGTTGAGATTTAATAACCTAACTCTAAGTATCATACTACTATGGGCTGATCAGAATGGTAAAATATTCCTGATAATGTTGAGATTAACTTGAACTCTACATCTTTTTCGCTTTTTTTCTCACAAATAAAAAAAGGCACAAGTAATAGCCGCGATAATTTAGATCTAATTAGCCTTGCCGGTTTTCCTGCCAAACCTATGATATTTTGTATGTGTGTATATAATTGCAATATAACTAGCGCTCTGCTGTCATTAGAATACATTTAGAATACTATATTTGTTGTGTCAAAAGAGCATAGAATATCTAACAGCAGTAAGTTGAAATGAAAATCATTACAAAGAAGAAAAATAAGTCCATTGAAAAAGTTGCGAGGAATAAGAAATATACATCTTTATAAACATAAAGTGCAAGAAAAAAAACCTTTGTCTACTTGGTGATAATATTACATCTAAGGTCATATTTACATCTTTTCATTAAGCTTAATGGATCATTTGTTCAGCATTTTTTTTATCTAAAGAAATTAGATAATTTAGTACTAATACACATAATAAAAACCAAAATAAAAGTTTCAATTTAAAAAATTATATTTAAATTTTTTAAATAATATAGCTAATAAAAAGTTTAGGTTTCAATTAAGTTTTTTACAATTGTTTAACTGCTCAAGATATAATATTTTTGTCGATATTTTTTTTAATGACACAATATTTTTTACCAAATTTGTCATTTGCCTTTGAATCTCTCCTACTAAGTAACACCTTCTTTGTAAGTTTTAAAAATCTTTTTAGTTTACAATATTTCAGAATAAATCCTTAAAAATGGCTGACACTCATTTAAGATAATTATAACAAAATTTTACCAATTTTATTTAGAGCAACAATATATTTTTAAAAAAACTAATGCTATTTTAGCCTGCGTTGGGCAACAGTACAAACTTATACGTATTTGTATAAATCTGTAGACTATGATAATATACTTGTTATAGACATACTTGTTATACCATATCTTATCATACACTAATATATAATACTTATAAACATTATTTTGAACAATAAGTATATGTAATATAACTATTTTTTTCCAATACTGATCAACATAGAGAAGTATAGATCTGATACTACAACGTTTTCTCTATTTATGGTGATTTTTGTTGTAGCTTCAACTAATATACTTTTACTTATTACTATAATGTGTGTGTGTGTGTTTTGTTCGTTCTTATGCATAAGAGCAGAAGTATATTTTTATATAGAAAAAAAGTTGAAGCAACTTAAAAATCACCATAAATAGAGGAAGTATTGTTGTGAATTTAAAAAAATAAAATTATCTTGTACTAAATTTTAATTCATCGACAGGTTTTAAATTTCATTCAAAAGTATAGTGAATTATAAAAGTTATGGCAATGCAAAATTTGCAACCCCCTTCTTTTTTATATTATTTTAACGTGTTAAAAAATATCTAAAATGTTTTAATGGACCCCCTCAATTTTACCCTTTTGCCCATTTATAAATCTAAGCACTTTTTTTAGACTTTAAAAGAACTCTTTTCCGTTGTTATAAGGCAAATATTCTTGAATAACACGAGCAACACGAATAAAATCTGGTAGTTTTTTTTGGCCAACAGTGTTTATTTAAATATTTAAAAAATCTACCATTTTATCGATAGAACATTCTAAACCTGACCATTACCAAGTAAATTTTCAGCAAGTTTTGGTTTATAATTACAACAAAATTAATTTTTGCTAAAATTTAAGTTATATGGATCACTATGCATCATGGCCGCCAAGAGAAGAGGAGGGAAGGGTAAAAAGGGGATACTTTCCCCGGACGTCAAGTCATTAGGGGGGCTAAAAGAAGAAGTCTTTTTTGTTAAAGTTGTTATTTTTCGTTATAATTTGTATTAGTTGATTATTGTTATAGTTTTAATTTATAGAAGTGCTACGATATATTAAAAAACATATTTTGTGTGTGTTTTAGTGTCAATACTCTTTACTAGTATTAAACAACTAAATGATTAATAATCTTTTTTGGGATGATGTTACTAAAAACTAGTAAATAAAACAAAATGACATAATGTTCAACAATATAGCAATAGTAGAAATGTTAGTGCAAAAAAAAATTGTGCAACTTCAATGTTTTTCTAGGCTAAGGAGACATGGTATTGCATCAACTTTTTTATTTAAAAAAAAAACATCTAGAATTTTGTTAGTATTTACATACCAATGATAATTCAAGTGTATGAAATTATTGGCATTTTATCATTGGCATTGACTAATAGTAATCTTAAGCTAATAGTAACATTAAGGTAACTAATAGTCGTATACATATTATACCTCTGCATGAAAGTTTTTTGAAGTTTTTCAAATCTTACAATACCGATGAACAAATTATATTTGTAAAAATAAATATAGCGTTATACCTCAATATAATCCATCAATAAAAAAAAAAAATTTATGGGCATTGAAAAGTTGTTCGAGCTGTCTGCCTTTAAGTATGATTTTTTTAATATTCTGATGCAAACACTACAAAAAAGGAAAGATACCTAACTAAATATGTTGTTTTGTGATTTATAAAGCATATTTTAAAACTCAAAAAACATTGTTCTTTAGTATTTGTTTTTTAACACTTGGTTTAATGCATAAGCTATAAAATATTGGAATGATGTAAACAATAGTATTCATTTTGTTCATCGGTATGATAATAATTGTGTCACCCTAGGTTATAAAGTAAATTAGTAAAATGAAAAACTGCTAGTACATATTAATTATCTGAAGTTACTGTTCAAACTCATAGTAATCATTACTGGTAAGTTCATAAAACTAAGTTGCTGATATTGCTTAGAGGGTAACAGTAAAAAATACTGTAAAACGTACGAACTCTGCTTATTTTTGAATAAAAAAATTCAAAATATCATGATAAATATTTTAAGTATTCTATTATAAACTTTAAGTGTACACTATATAGTTAAGGATTGGTTCAATCATTATTTTTATGCAATAATAGAATTTAGATTAAAGATAGAAATATACTAGTTTATATAGTATTCTGTTAAGTGGCACTTTCATGTTTCCCTAGAATTTTATATAAAATGACATAATTTCCATGTTTGAAAATAAATTTGCTTTATTGAGTCATTACAGGTCTTAATTTGGTTTCAGGACATCTTTTGACCCTTAGCCCTTTTTAATGGTCTTGTAAAGTTTTTAATTGTTTAATTTTTTGAGACTTAGTTTCAAAATTATGTTTTTTGATTGGTTAATGTTATCATTTTGGCAACAAACTAAATCTGAAGAACTCACCTGCTGAATGATCATATATTAATAACATTTCAAACAACTTTCTTCACAATTTTTTTTATTAAAAATATCATTGCTTAGTAAAGGGTTAAGTTTATAATAATCTGTAAAAAGAATTACATAGCTCTAAATTGTGCAAATGCTATCAAGAAAGCGCAAGATAACAAGAGAAATAAAAACTCAAAGTAAACCAGCCTAAAAAAAAAATATCCTTGCTCAAATGGGTTTTAAAGTATTTAGAAATTCAAATAGAAAGAAAAAAATAATGACGAAATAAAAAATGTTGTCAATTATGATGAGAGTATGATGATCAGTAATGAGGAATTTCCTCAGCTCCCAACAAGAGAAAGTTTATTTAACAACCATAAATCTATTGTGGATGATTCAGAAATCTATAAATTATTAAACAGAATTTAAACAATGCTTCAAAAAGGTTTATTCGTATAAAATGAGGCAATTCTTATGCCTTATTTAAGTGGAGGCGTAGTAAGCAATGATGTGTCAAATAACTCAACGAACGCTAATAAGAAGAATCTTATTGATTTTCTTCTTACGAGTGAAATTGAAAATTACAATCAACAAGAAGCACCTGTGAGTATTTCAGGTATTAACAGTTCATTATGCAGATGTTGTATTACTTTTTTTTTTTGATTTTTGTAAACATTCGAATTTATATTTAGACGATAGCGTAGATAATGACTCGGCATTTTGGCCGCTGACGCTAAAGCAAAGTGAACGGATTAAAATTATACAGAAACGCCCTTATCCTCTACCTGATGTGTTTTCCCGCGACAGAAAATAAAACAGAGCCTTTCCTTAAAATATTCTTTTGCTACTCAATGGAAGCACAGTTAAAAGAGATTTTCTGGTCTTGAACACAACAATAAGTTCACTTATGTGTTTTCCTTGCTCTCTATCCTTGCTCTCTATTTGGGTGTAAAAGTCATTGATTAGCTTAAGATTGATGTCTTCATCTCCGATGGATTGGTGGAATCAAAGACAACTAGAAAAAACTAAGCAGTTGAATCAAAGCACTTTATTATAGCTCTGTCCACCAAAACCATTACATCGTCTGGAAGACTTTGGCGTTTAGAGGTCAACTATATTTTTTATTTCGCAATTGTTTTTTATTTTATAAACAGTGCATTTTTTATTCGGATTTTTATAATAGTTATTGCAGGTCAAACTCCTGCTCTAGAAGAGCAAGGGAACGGCAATTTTCTTGGAGCTCTGGAAATAATTTCAAGTCATAACAAAACATTGACAAATCATCTAGAAAACGTAACTCGTCTCCAAAAAGAGGGAATTCGGATGCAGGCTCATTACTTCAAATGGAAATTACAGAACGTAATTTCCATTTGAAGTAATGAGCAGTGTACTCTTTTAAAGGGAGTTAGAGAAGCAGAATACTTTTGATATTATTACCACCATTACCAATGGGACGCCAGATGTGTCACACACAAAAGAAACAATTTTTATTTTTCGCTTTTTGCACTTCAATATTAAAAAAAAAAGCAGGAAAGTATAAGAAGAATCCATCAGCCCTATATATTCCTTGTAACGCACATACCCTTTGTTGTGTTCACTAATTTAAAAATATACCTACTAACTCTTATTTTATTTGTATTTAAGATTTATTATAATAACATACATATTTACAACTAGTATTATATAAACAAACATAACTCACTACAATATCTTTCTAACTAACGCACGAGTTCTAATGCGTTCCACATGAACGCACTCTTACCAATCATAATGTTATGTATTTCGTTACCGCCTCTCAACAGTTCCCCCTGTTTGGGAAAGTTTCTGTTATTACACAAATAAATAAATCGTGTTTAGAAATTTTTAATTGTAAAACTTTATAGGTCTATTAATTCGCTTTGGATATGATTTTCTTTTAACTATTTTTCTTTCGATATCATTTACTGGTGTTTCACGTTGTATACTTTCGGCTTCAGGTTTTAAGAGTTTTTTTTTTTATAAATTGTATATTACGCGCCAACTCGTTTCCTTCTTGATCGACTACAATGATTAAATTTTGCTTTCTTTCTTTAACTATATATTTCTTGTTTAAATATTTTGAGTCTAATTTTCCTGCCGGTTTATGGAGTTTAACAAGAACCTGATCTCCTACTTTAATGCCATCTCTCTTCTTTGCATGATGTTTCATATCAAAACATTCTTGTACTTTCTTATACTTTTTATCTTGACGTTCTCTCACTTCTTTGTCATAGGGTGATTTTTCAATTATTATTGAAGGAAACTTATTTTTGATATTTCTATTAAATAATAACGTAGCTGGTGGTTTGCCAGTTGTAGCATGAGGTACGCATCTATAATTTCAAAGCATGCTTTGAAGTTCCTCTCTCCAACCTTTCCCCATAAAATGAGTTGTTTTAATTATTTTTCCTTTAACTTGCATAAATTTTTCTACGATACCGTTCGCTTGCGGATATTGAGGCGTTATTTTAAAGTGCTTTATGTCAACATTTTTAAAGTATAGTTTTAATTCTTCGCTTTGAAACGGTGGTCCGTTGTCACTTCTAATTTTGTTAGGATAACCAAATATAGCAAATAATCTTTCTAGTTTACTTATGACGCTTAAAGCTGTTGTGGTTTTTATTATATCAACAAATGGGTATCTTGAATATAAATCTTCTATAACAAATAAATACTCTCCTGACGGTAATGGTCCGAAAAAATCCATGCTGATTCATCCCAAACATGTTCTGGTAAATTCAACATTTTTATTGGTTCAGGATTTGGAACAGTTGAATTTGCTTGACATCCCAAACACTTTTCAGCATATGCTTCTATATCGGTATTCATAGTGACCCAGTAAACTTTTTGTCGCAACAAGCCTTAGCATTTTTCAACACTTAAATGTCCTTCATGTACAATTTGTAAAGCTCTTTTTGGAAGCGTCTTTGGTAAAACAATTTTTTCTCCTCGTAATATGATTTCGTCGTGACCAGTTAACTCATTTTGAAATTTACGATACGGTTCAAGTATTGGAATGTCATGCCATTTACCCGACAACAACGCTGTTTTTACTGTAATTAAACTGATGTCTGTTGCTGTCTCTGTTTTTGTATCTTCGAGTGATATTGATTTAGGTGCCATTTTTGTCACTAAGAAATTTACATGTGCTGTAATTTCATTTTCATCTGTCTCACTATGTATTTCATTTGGAGTACAGTTTCTAGAGATAAAATCTGCAATGTTCTCTACTCCTTTTTGATATATTACATCGAAATCGTAAGTAATATATCAAAAATATCTGTAATTTGATTTGCCATTTTGCAATACGTGCATTTAATTTAGAACCAGAAGAAAAAATGAACTTAAGGGGTTTGTGGTCCACTATGACCTTAAAATTTTTTCCATTTAAATACAAATGTAACTTTTCAATAGCCCATACCAAGGCAAGAGCTTCCTTTTCTGTAATACTATATTTTAACTCGGCTGCGGTTAATGGTCTACTTATGTAGCAGATTGGTTTACTCCATGTTCCTTCTTTTTGTAAGAGTATTCCGCCTATGGCATGATTACTAGCATCAGTGATTAACTGTACTTCTTTGTGCGGATCATAGAAAGCCAGAACGGATTCACTTGATAACTCACGTTTAAGCATGTTAAAAGCATCATAATGTTTTTTTTCCCACTTAAATTTTGAATTTTTCTTTAATAGTTCCCGTAGTACTGTTGTTTTTTCACTAAAGTCTTTAATAAACCTTGATACATATGTGCATAAACCAAGGAAACTTCGAAGCTCACTGACCGTTGTTGGTGATCTTGCATTTTTGATAGCTTCTACTTTGTTTGGATCAGGATTAATACCATTTTTAGATATTTCAATACCAAAAAATTTTATTTTCTCTTGAGCAAAATTAAACTTTTTTTTATTTAACTTCAGACCTAATGTCCTTGTTTTGATGAACAAAAGTTCTAATTTTCTTAATAAGTCTTGTTCGTCTGATGCGTATATTATAATATCGTCACTGATAAATTTTACTCCCTCTATTCTACCATAGCTTTGCTCCATAGTTTTTTGAAAAATTTTGAACGAACTGTTGATCCCATACACTAATCTTTTGTGTCGGTAGACTCCCTCATCCATTTGAAAATTTGTAGTTTTACTTGATTCGATATCCAACTCTAGCTGAGTATAGGCTTCCTTCATGTCTAGTTTGGCAAATATTTTTGAACCATTGAATGTTGCGTTAAGTTTAAGATTTTTTTTTGGCAACATCTAAACTCTTTACGTATTCTTTAGCTGCAGTCCGGCTAGGTAGAAGATTTTGCAAGAATTAATAGGAATATTTTTTCAGAAGCATTCATATATCAGGCGGTTAGCACGAATTGCCATTATTAAACTCATTGCAAAACGACTATACTATAGAGGATTTTGACTTTACCGCTGACATATTAATTCAAGTTAAGTCCTTGATAAAGTTTTTAAAGTTGTTTGAAAATATTGTACTACTAACGTTTTGGTACAAGCTCTCCGAGTTGTCGTTGAAGTAAGTCTTTTATTTCAGTCAACTTCACTAACTATTGATAACGAAGTTTTTCCTATTCTATTTTTCCTATTCAATAGCTAGTTATTAATTTCGGCCGCATCCAATCATCATGTATCAATCTTTTGGCTAAAGCAAAAACAATTTCAGACCCTCTTGTCTTCAAAGCTAAATTTTTATCAAAACGAAAGAAAAAAAAGCGATTTCATGATAATTCTGCAAACACTGTTTTTTGCTATGAGAGCCTCGAGCAACAATTTGAGGTAAATATCTTTAACGTCGCCCTTGATTGTTTTATTTCATAAATTCAATAAAGGTTTGACATTGTAAAAACTGTTTTGTCTTTGAGCCTTCTCAACCAAATACATTCAAAAGGACTACAACCTAATTTTCCCATCTGTATGCATCCTAATTTGAAATTTTAATACAACGTCAGTATCTGTTACAGAGGGAGGACGATCCTTCAGTAATTTAAAGTTGATCAAGAACTATTGTACGGCCGCTATGAGAAAAGAAAGCCTTTCAACATCTAATGATAGTATCAGTTGAGCATGAATCGGCAAAGTCTTTATCTTATGATGACATAATAACAAATTATGCCGGTAAAAAAGCAAGAGGAAAGTATTTTAAATAAACAGTTTTCTATTATTTTAATTTCAAAAGATTATGTTTAATAATCTCAGCCGATTTACTTTGTACTTGGGTTGTATAAGTTGTATTTTTTCAAGATTTACTTTATGAAATTATTATCAATTTAATCAGAAATAAAACATAACCTTTAAAAAATAAACCATTTTAAAAACGTATGCAATTATATATATGCATGATTGCATATGCTTTTAATTTAAATTCTTTTTTAAAATCATGCATGCTAAAAGGGGCGCCTACTAGATGCTTTGCTCCGGGCGTCATTAAAACTCTCGGCGGCTCTGTTATGCACAGGTCAAAAAAAATGTAAATATAAAATAGTTACTCAGTTTTTTTTTATTTATTACTAAGAGGCTGTCCATTAATTACGTTAATAACTTTAAGCAATTTTTACCTCTCCCCTCCCCCTTGCCATATTTTCAAAGGCCTCTTCCCCCAATAAAAAACGTCAATATTCGGTTAAAAAAATATAATCATTTAAAATTAAAAATGTTTTCTCCGAACAAAAAGTGAATAAAAGTAAAAGCTATAAAAAATAAATTATGACTACAAAAGCTTACTTTGAGGAAAAACAAGATTAAAGAGATTACAAAAGTGTATGCACATTACACGTTTAAATTATGAACATATTTCAAATTTAGAATACACTTCAATGTACAAATCGTCCTCACTTTAATATTAGATCTAATCAAATTTCATAGAGAAAGTCAATTATTTTTAATAGAGTCTAGTATGATAAAAAATGCATTTACCAAATTGTATAAACCAGGGGTCGGCAACCTTTTGAGACGGGCTAAAGAGCTAAAAGAGCTAAAAGTTACAATTTACAAAATTTTTTAGTTTTTAAAGAGCAACCAACATCTTTATTTTAATATTATATATTAATATTTGTGCATAGAGCTAAAGAGCTGCATCTTGACATTGAAAGAACTACATGAGGATCGTGAGCCGCAGTACCCCTGGTATAAACATTAAAATAATATAATGTAGAAACGTAACGTTTCAATAATATAACGAATCTTTTTTGTTTACACACAGACTAACCAACAATAAGTTTGAAAAAATAATGTTACGAGTAATCATTTTTTTATTTCAGCAAACAATATTATATAATTCAATTAAAAGTGCTTACAATCTCCTATATATGTGTACAAAATTAAAGTTATTACACCACATATATTTATAATAAGTGTAAGTTAAAAATACTGTTAGCGCGTGCTTGCTAGGCAGTGGGTTGAAATAACGAGTTTAAAAGTTCGTGGTTTATAAAATAAAGTGCTGGCTATTAACCCATGCATTTCAAATATTTATACCATTCCGTCGCACCACAGGGTTACTAGAGGCTTGCTCGTCGTTGTCGTAATAAGAAAATATACATTATACATTATAAATTTATTATAAAATATATTATACTTATAATATATTATAAAATATATTACACTATATAAAATATATTATACTTATAGTATGTTATATTTATTATATATCATAAATTTATATATTATAAATATATAAATGAACAAATATATTATAAATTTAGTAAGATTATGTAGAGTAGATTAGGGTAATATGGGTACCTTGGTAATATCATATAATAAATCTTTAAGTATGCTCATATTATGAGCATACTTAAAGATTTATTAGATGTAAGCATTGAGTTAAAGTTGCTTTGTGTTTTTCGAATCAACTTTATGTGGTGATAACAGGAATCAGTACAGTTAGCGTAAATTTATATGCAGTAATTAGCGGACATCATCTAATTAAAACGCTATTAAATTTTTTGCTTTGTTAAAATAATATTATCACACGTGAATAATTCTGTGGCGCAAAATTTTGGTGCTTAAATAATGAAATTAATTTTTTCATAAAGAAAAATATATTAGCTAAAAATCCAATTCATTTTGGTTTAAAAAATAAATCATAGAAACATTTATTTTTGACTTTATTTAAAGATGCCATTTTTGTGTAATATGAGCATGCTCAAATTATTCAGTGTTTTTCATTGAAATTACTTAGTTTAAAGTCCTAAAATAGCAGTGTTTTTTAATTGCTTCTTGATAAAAACAAAACATAGTAAAAAATTTTAATATTTTAACAATATTAAATATTTTTCTGAACTTAAATTTAAAAAATTTGAATTTTTATCGTTCAAAGGCTTGAGTTAATAAAATTGAAAAAATAACAAATTAATTTTTTTTTTTGTTGTTGTTGCGGAAAACATATAAATTTTGTTTCAACAAAATGTAGCTTAAAATTTGATCTTTTAATGATAAGTTTTGTTAATCACGAATCCTTATATTTAAAAAATTAGTTCTTTTAATCAGGTCGGTTTTAGATCCAGCATATTTATTTTTGAAAATATTTTAATTTTCGCTTAAGGTGCTCATATTACCCTAATCTACCCTATTTGAAGGAAAACTCGCAGAAGACTAGAAGAAGTCTTATCACGGAGAACCTTTAAATAATAATGAAAAAATTAAAAAACAAATTTTATACACACATAAACATTTTGAGGTCAACTTCTAGTTGATGAATATTAAATTTAATTTTCAATCTGTCAGAAAAAATTCCGAGTGTTTATGCAGATATCGAGATAGATAAAGAGAAAAAAGAAAAAATTCAGTCCCCCTCCCCTCTATTCGTTAACGAAATTAATGGACATCCCCAAACTGCCGATTCAACTTTTAATTTTAACTGTGCAGGAGATGGGGAAGAGAGAGATTATTAGTCTCAATCTAAAATATGCTTTATTGTTTCAAAATTTGTGTTTATTTATAGGCAAAAAAAAAAGCGTAGAAGAGTTTTAAAACAGTAACAAAAATTTTTTTGTCTAGTTTAATTGTTTTTGTTTTCAATTTTTATTATTTTTAAATACCATTCGTTGATTCTCGCGAGTTTTGCCGCTGGCAGTTTAAATATCTAAAAAGCGCCAAAATGTTGAATTACTTTATTTACCTTAATTTTGGATTGTTGTTGATGTTGTTGTATTAGGTTAAAGTTTAATTAAAATTTCAGTTTCTGGTTTATTAAATAGATTAGTAATAGTAAAAAGCGCTTTGTTGCAATATTTGGGTTAAAAATTATTGTCAAAGGTCAAGTTTTATAGTGAATCATACAGTTTACAATTTAAACAGTTAAAAATAAAAAATTTAACAATTAATGTCCTAAATTTAACAATTTATGTCCTGCATACCTTTTAATAAAAGACAATTAATAATGCCATTAGGGTTTAGCCAGATACTATTAAGATGTAAAGATATAAAAAAAATTTTCTGCTAGTACTATTATTTTTTTCTTTTTCTGAAATAATAGTCTTGATTTTAGTCAGCATTTTTAAAGTGTAGAAAGCATGTTACGAATTTACCGACCTAATTCTGCAAAATGATATATATTTATATATATATATATATATATATATATATATATATATATATATATATATATATATATATATATATATATATATATATATATATATATTTATATATATATATATATATATATATATATATATATATATATATATATATATATATATATATATATATATATATATATATATATATATATATCCTTATAATGTAGTCGAAAGAGTCTATTAATGTAAAAAAAGTCTCTTTCGACTACAATTTTAATTACCTCGTCTCTTAAGCTGTATTTGTCGTCGAAATGTCAAAGCTATTAAATTAATGCAGAAGTATATTAAATTTTATTGTTTTTTAAAAAATTTTTAAAAAACCACAATAATAACGACTAGAAAGTTTTTTTTTAATTAGTGGTGTTTTTGTTTTTGTTTTATTAAAAAAACATTTTTAAAACATGCGTAAATATTGCTGCATCGACTATCTTATAGCATGCTGCTACAAGGGAGTGTTTCTACATCGACTATCTTATAGCCTGACTCACAACGGAGTGCTGCTACATCGACTGACAAATAGCCTGACTCGCAAGGGAGTGCTGCTACATCGACTGACAAATAGCCTGACTCACAAGGGAGTGCTGCTACAACGACTGACAAATAGCCTGACTCGCAAGGGAGTGCTGCTACATCGACTGAGGGTTTGGTTTGGGCAGGCAGTCTATCATTTTTTAAAAAAAAATTTTTTAAGTTATTAAACTTTTTCTGGTCTGGTTTATTAATGCGCTCTTTAAAACTTCAGTTTATGGGAAACTCTTTTTGACTACCATGCAAGAGTATATATATATATATATATATATATATATATATATATATATATATACACTTACTAAAGCATGTTTTGATAAGCCTTTGCTCACTTTTTCTGCTTACCTTAAGCTGTACCGTTTTTTTCGAACATATATAATATCAGTTTTCTAATTATGCATTTACTTGTGTTAGAGTAACAGTTATTTTTAGTATTATGTTTTAGTTAGAGAGTTTATGTTGTTGCCATATTATGTAATAGTAAAGTAAAAACTATACAATAGCACTACAGTTAATATTAGTTGTAAATTCTATTACATTTAATAGAATGATTTTGGAATAAACAAAATTTCAAATTAGATTCTAAAGTATAATTTTAATCTGTAATTACAATATATTTGTAGTGTAATTTAATATATATTTATTACTTAATATTGTAGTGTACTTGAATATTGTTTGTCTAATATTCCAATACTACAAGTGGTGTAAGTAAATGTAATTTATAAAGTAGTGTAATTCAATGTTATCTTCAATGTTATTTTCAGTTAAAATGACTTTTTAAACTATAGGCTCAAAGTGCTTTTTGATGTCTGCCTTTCTTTAAATAATTAAATTTTTCTTAAAATTAAAGTGCTTAAACTCAGTGAATATCATGTTCTGTTTATAATGGATTCAATAATTAATTAATATTTTTATCCTTATTTTTATTTTTATCATGCCAAAAAAAAATCTCGCCCCCCCCCAAAAAAAAAAAAAAAAAAGAAAAAGAAAAAATAAATAAATTTTTTTTGTGGTGCAGCTAAAAAATATCACTAACTTCTCATTACCTGCTTAAATAAGCAGTAAATGTATGAATGGACACATGCTGTTTGTCTATGTCAATACCAGAGAATCAACAACGAAATGTTATTATCAAATGTTATCAAGTCACTCAACATTTTAGAATTAAAACATCTAAAAATCAAAGTGAAAATTTGGTAAATAAATCAAAAATGTGAGCAAATAATTTTTTCAAGATTAGTCATTATAAACATTTTTTGTCCTTTTGTAGCAAGCCATATGCAAGCTTTGATATAGCTAATGTATTATAATAAGCTTTAACACCTACAATACAGTTATTACAAACTACAGCCAGTAGTTTAACTACATGAAATTCTTTAATTGTAATACCTCACCAAGTCAGTGTTTTATCTCCTTAAAGTGAACCAGTTTTTAGTTAAAAAAGAGGATATGACACCTAGGAAAAAAAACTAAGTAGTAGATTGTATTATCTTCACAATTAGCTAACATTTCTACTAAACACAAAAGCAAGATAACATAAGTAAAAGCAAAATTAAATGCTATGCCATACAAAATAAAAGTTTTGAGGCAAAGAAAAGGAGGGATAATACAAATATCTTAAAGAGATTAAAAAAAAAAATTACAAACATTATTATAGTAGGCAAATTCATAATCTTTTTGCTCAAAAAAACAATTAAAATTAAAGAGAGAAAAGTATAGAAATGTAACTCTCAAACATAATGCTGCTATTAAAACAAATAAACAGGTTATTACTAGTTTAGAAAATGATATGACCCAGATTGAGGAGGGCAATGTACATAATACAAATATATCAGATGACAAAACTTATCCATTGCAAATACGGATGATAATAAACAGCATGTTATTATATAATGTCCCAACAAGTAACAACGTTTCTGGTCAAGAAAATTGGGCAATATTTAGTGTTGTTTTTTTCTAACATTCCTTGTTGTATTACTGTTGAGCAAATGGCTTGTGAGCTTGGAAGGGTTGCTGGACAAATATTATTTAAAAGAATGGACCATAAATAATAATCATCTTACTTTAGGGTTTGACGCAACAATGGAAGAAGGCATTCATATTAACAGTGTTCACCTTATGTCTAAAAATTAATGCAAAGTTATTGTTATCGAAGTAGTGGATCTTGCAAAATCAACGTACATCAGGTAATAGAAAACTACTATTGTAAAAGAAATGTAAAGCGAGAAGTGAAACTTGCAAAATAAAAGTGCAGCAAGTATTTAAACTCACAAAATCAAAGTATAACACACAGATCAGAAATTTAAGGTTTAAGTTTACTATCTGAGTACCCCAAAAATGTTAATAAATATAGTAAGTGGGGCATCTGGACACTTCATTTTCATATTTAGAAAAATCTGGGAGGTATCACATTTTTAGAAAATTGACATTGAAAATCTGATAAAAAGTCATTATTTTCGTACTTAAAAAAACTAAATATACTGACAGAAAGTTGAAGTTTATTTAAAAAAATGTTCATATACCAACTTTTCAAGGTATTTAATTTAATATTTATACATAAACATTATTAGAATACACAAAGTTGGTCAAAAAAACATTTTTTATTAAAAATGTTTCTTTTTGACTATGCATTTTTATTTTAATTTTATTATAGATACCTAATATATTGAATCTATGGCTCCTCTGCTCTCTAAGGAGAAGAGAGAATACCATTTTAAAAGAAATCATGTACTTTTTCAAAAAATCATTTGCTGTTGCTGCCTTGAAAAGAACAACAGATGCATTCCAGTTAATAAAAATTTGGAAGGCCTGGTTCAAGTTTTCTGTAAGCCTGAGTTTTCACTTAAAGTATTTGCCTACCCTACAGGATTATGCCCAGGTTGCAAGAAAAACTTATATCTCTGTAAGGCTGGTAAAACTATTGCAGACACAGTTACTTTAAAATGGAAAAATTCTGATTTGTCTAGCTTGCAAACCTCTAGAGATTGCTCAATATTATGCAGTATATGCAGTCAAGGAAGAAATAGATTATTAAATAAAAATATGAAAAAGGGAACTAGCTCAACACTGAAATTTTGCCAAATATGTTTCTGTGAAATTGCTAAAGGTAAACCCCACAAATGTTCCCCTTTAAAGAGTAGCACAAATCTTTCTGAGAGTATTTCTAAAATTTCTAAAAAAGTAAAAGAACAAGTAGCTTCTTCCCTTCTAAAAGAAATTTATTCTGATCAAGAACAAAGTCTAGGAGCTCAAGCCATTCTCAGAACAGGTAAAATATTGTTAAATAAAAATAGCTGTTATGTACGTTTTTAAAATAACAGTTTATAGTATATTAAGGAGGTAAAAGTATTCATATTACACTCGGTACTCGGGAAAGTGACCAGAGAAAGATTCCTTATAATGAAGTAGAAGTTTTAGTAAATACCTTAGGACTTAGTCAATTGAAGTCATATGAAATGTTAAAAACATTGAGGAGAAGCGGCGTAAAGTTTGAGTCAAACATAGAGAAAGCCCTGGATGAAAAAAGTAAACTACTTTCCAACTTTTATGTCACTGAATTATTAGACTTTCAAGAAAAGGAAAAAGATAATGACTATGCTACAGTGAAGAGACACTTGGTATATATTGAAGATATTACAACATTTCTGGATTTTGTAATTAAATATCGAGGGCAGGTTCCACAAAACACATTTGTAAAGGTTGGAATAGATTCAGGTATTTATATTTAATTTATTTAATTTATATTACTTATTATATTTTAATAATTGTTTTTTTAAAAACTTGTTTTTAAAAATATTATTTGTACATATTTATATACAAATATGTATGTGTGTAAGCATATATATATATTTATAGGTGGAGGATCACTGAAAGTTATAGTAAATCTGTTTGATCCAACCAAGGACAGGACAGAAGATAGCAGCTCCTTAGGATCATACTCAGGAGCAAATACGTCACTTGTTTTAGCTTATTGTGAAAGGGTAAGTGAGAATCATTTTAACATGACAATGATTGTGGAAAAATTAAAATTGCATGAATGCAAGTACTCATTGGCTTCTGACATGAAGTTAATCAACATATTGCTAGGAAAATCGGTGTGTTTATTTTAAATAATTTTATGATAATAAGGCATATTATGGTAAAAACTATATTAGGAAAATGTTTTTTTTACCCTACAATATATTTATAAATTGAATTATAATATAAAATTTTAGGCTCATGGAGGAAAGTATGCTTGTGCATGGTGTGAAGGTTCTTCAGAATTATTTTCTGGAGAGTTAAGAACATTTCAATCTTTGAATAATTACTATGAACTGTATTCATCTGCAGGATCTCCGGTGAAAAGAATGAAAGAATATAAGGTATAAATGAATAAATATATTGTAAATATTTTCAAAATTTATCATCCATTATAATTTTATCATTTTAAAAAGAATAAAAAAAATTTATTTCCATATATTTAGAATGTCATTAATCCTTGTCTGCTTAAGATAGAAGACAAATCTCTAAGTATAATAAGAGAGATTCCATTACCAGAACTTCACCTTCTGATGGGATTTGTTAACCATGTGGCAGAATTTATAATGCAACTTTAGCCTGGATTTATAGATTGGGTCAAGAGCATTGGATGCCTTCGAAAAGGTTACCATGGAGGAACATTTGAAGGAAACACGTGTAGAGAGATACTTAAAAGTTGCGACAAACTTGAGTTGATAATTTCTGTTGAACTGTATCCTCTCTTAGAAACAATGAGAAAATTTAATAAGGTTGTTCATGGTGTCTTTACCTATAAACTTGACCCAAACTATTCAATTTTAATTGAAAGTTTTACACAAAGCTATAAGGATGCACAAGACTATTGCAGAGAGGTAATTGCTGTTTTCTTTACCCTTTGTATTTAAAACCAAGTTATTGATAAACATATTTATAGTAAGCTTTTTTAGTTTTTAGGTAAACAGCTCACGGTTACTTGGAAAGTACATGCTGTAACAGCACATCTGGAAACATTTGTTGATTTGAGTGGCCTTTCCCTTGGGCAGTTTAATGAGCAGACATCTGAATCTTGCCATTCCAAGATGAAAAGTGTAATAAACAGGTTTGGAGTCTCGCATTACAGCAACAAACATAAAGAAAGAAGCAAAAGAATTGCTGAAGTGTTCAGTTCAAATAATTTATAAGTTATTGAACATTAATTGTACATCAAAACATAAACATTATTGAAATCTTAAAGTTAAAAAAATTTGTAAATTTATTCAAAAAGACACTAAAAATACATTAGTATAAACAGTTTTTGAAATATTTTATTTAGTATTTATTATATTATTATTATTTATATATATTAGGTTATTAGGCAACTATGCATACAATACTAATATTTTACTAAATTACTTATATACTATCAATATGTTCTACTTTACTAAGCATACTATGTTCCTAATATAATTCAAGCATATCTAAACCTTTTTCACCAACTTAGATATATCTAAGAGCTGTCTAATGAAGTTGATGTGTAAATACAAAATTTAAGAGCATAAAAACTTGGAATATAAAGTTATTTTATGTTAATTTTACTGTTCCATCAATATATTTAGTTTTTTTAAGTACGAAAATAATGACTTTTTATCAGATTTTCAATGTCAATTTTCTAAAAATGTGATACCTCCCAGATTTTTCTAAATATGAAAATGAAGTGTCCAGATGCTCCACTTACTATATTTGTTAACATTTTTGGGGTACTCGGATAGTAAACTTAAACCTTAAATTTCTGACCTGTGAACAGGGAGTCTAACTTTGCAAAATCAATTTACACTGGGTAGTGGAACTTGCAAAATAAATGTACAGCAAGTAATAGACCTTGGAATTTTTTTGATAGATGGCTCTGGCTTACGTTCACGTTGTGTCTATCATTAACAATGATTTGTTTTTAGTTTCATTATTGGAATTTAATACATTAATTATTACTAAAAGCCAAGGCTCAATTTAATACATTAATCATTAACTAAAAGCCAAGACTCAAATTAATTCAAATATTATTTAAAAACAAACAAAAAATGTTGTCTTAAGGCGTCATCTGGCTCTCAGTCTAAAACTCTGCTGAATCTTGTAAGGTGCATCTTGTAACATTTAATGTGTTTTGTATTTCAATATATATTATTTATAATAGTTGCCTTTTTTTTTTAATCTCATTTTAAATAAATTATTATATTTTTTTTTTAGGTTAGAGAGGGTGTGAACACACGCCCTTTCCCCTCAAAATGATGTATGCACACCAAGTGTTTGCTGTAAAGATATAAATTATAAATTTTATTTTGATACTAGATTTACTTTTAATGAAAATCAAAATATTTATAATAATGAATCATTTTTAATAACAGGTTGTGTTCAACCATTACCCCTCCCCCCCCTCCACACTCACACACAAACACCCTAACTCAAAAAATAAATCTCTCCTATATGGCTGCACTCTGCAAGGAAATTAAAGCAACTTTTTGCATATGGAAATCAGCAAAATCATTGAAAAAATGATCTTTTATGAATAAAAATCATTTAGTAGTAAAGGTGGTAATTTGTTGCCTCCTCTAATCCCCTGGACACACCCGATGACTAAAGATTTAAATAACTTTAATGTTACTATTATACCTATCCTTTTTACTGAGTTTTATGCATTTAGATAAGATTTGGCAAAGCTATTAAATTTTTAGTTCATAAAAACTTTATTTTGACCACAGTTGCTTCAACAAATCCATATATCAAAAAATCAGTATTAAAAACATTGTAACTTTTTGTGGAAGTGCTTGATTTGGATAACTTTTTCACTTTAAAATACTGAATTTAAGCTCTTTTCAAAAAATTTTATAAAAAATATTGATTTTACATACCTAATATTATAATATTGTGATCACAAAAAACTTTTTCTTCTGAAGCAATGAGTTGACTACAAAACTGCCTCATCTTGGTTGCATATTATATGGGACATATTATACTATTGTGCATAAAACACAATAGATGTCCAGGCATGAAATCTAATTTCAGAAGCAAAATAATCTTAGAGTAACAAAACTGAAAGCTCAACTGAAATCTATGTAGTTAACTTGAGCTATTCACTTTGTAAATAAAATTAAGCAAATTCTATGATGTTAGTAGGAAATAGTAACAATAATGATTTCAGATCATGTCAGACAATGGTTAAGAAATCAATACCTTTTATTCTTATAATTTTCTGATGCATTGACAAGATACTAGACATCTGTGTCTTCTCGTATCCTTTCGGAAATAAGGCTTGTCATGGTCGAAAACGATAGTTTTTGGTTTGTGCCGTTTTTACGAAACAAGAAAATATCATATGGTTTTGTATCGTATTTTTACAAAACAAGTATGACCATATTTTTACGAAATAAGAAAATTCTGTTTTGATTTGTATCGGTTTATATGGAACGTTCATAATTCGAAATAATATTTTTTATTGTTTCATTTCGTCTTGTACCGTTTAGAGACGCAGATGCTTTCAAGATACTGCAATTTTAATATTGACCTGGTTTCCCAAAATGACCCGGTTTTCATTACATTTTGAAAAAACATTTTTCTAAAAAAAATAAGAAATAAAAAATGGCAAAAATATGAAAGTAAACATGTTTCTTTGATGCTGAATTCAATAAATGTACTTGCTGAAATGTTAAAGTAGCATGCTTAAAAGTTAATAAAACAACTAGTTTCTATAAACCAACTTTGGGGCCTAATATCTCAAAACACCCCTGTCAAAAATTTTTTCTTTTTGCTGTTAATATTTTCAGTTGCTAATAATCTTACTAGGCACAAAAAATCTAACGGAAAAAAAACTGAAACATATAGAACTTTAATTTCAAAGATATATCAATTTTTTTCACGAAATTTCCAAAAAATATTTGTAAATAAAATAAAAATAAGTTAATCATAATTTAAAAAGTTACTTAAATATACAAGAATTTTAAAGGTATCGAAGATGTAAGTAATTTTGACTGCGTTTGTAATAAGTTCACAATATTGTTGCCATTTTACTTGCACTTCTTCTATTTCAGCATTTTCAAACACATAGTTTCTACAGGAACTAGAGCAAGCTTGTGGAACAGATAGCTTTTTCAATATGTTGATGTTGGGAATGAAACAGTAGTTGTCTCTTTCAGGCCTCCTAAAATAGATTTATGGACCTTTTGGGTAAAGAAACTTAACTTTAGCATAAACTTTTTCTAGGTTGGTTTCAGTTACAATGCTGATCCACCACTTATCATCATAGTTTGCTATTGCTTGTTGTTTGTCTCAAAATCATCTTCGTATTCTTCAAAAATCTCATACAAATATTTGGTAAGGGGTTCTTTACTCTTGTATCTCAAAATCATCTTCGTATTCTTCAAAAATCTTATACAAATATTTGGTAAGGGGTTCTTTACCAGGACAATTATCACACTGTGCAAGCATGCATTTTTTGTTTTTTACTGAGCAAACAGTTTTCGAAAGTAAATCCTTATACTTTAGTCCAATATTTAAGGCATCTACTAGCAATATGGCATTTTGGTGATAAGAACATACACAAACAGAATGTGTACCACTTGCACCTGGTAAAATAGACGTCTTTGGTCTAAGTGAAGCAAATTTTGAGTAACTTATTTGTAATTCTGAATTGTTTTCTTTGTATAATACATATTGTTCCTTTAAATTACACAAAAGCAGTTTTTTTTGTTTATGGATGTCCTTTTGAATGCTAACATAATCTTTTTTTCCAGGCATAGTTCTAGATAAATCACTTGAGTCATAAAACAGTTTAACAGAATCTATTTCTTTGTGCAAGACTTAACCTTTATACAACGGAGAGATAGCTAACAATCCTTTTTTATTAAAAATTTGTCTAGCCATCTTTGCTTGGTATTCTGTAGCTGCAAAGTTATTTTGTAGTTCTATTATTGACCAACTTGGGAGTGCCAGTGTTAGAAGTTGAACAATAGTCCTTTTGTCTGAACAGAATTTTTTCTTTTATCAAGCTCAAAATTTCATCAAAGTTTTCAGCCTTCTTTTTTATGTTATGTTTTATAAAACAGTTTTGAGGGAAAATTGACTTTTAGTTTTTCTAGTAACTTTACTTACCATTTCGTTGATATGCACAACTTTTCGCTTTCCTTCTGAGAGTATATGTTTTGATGACTTTGAATGATATTTTAGAGGAGATATAATAAATTTTTTGAATTTTTCATTATCTCCGGTCTCTTTGATTTGAATGATGATATTAGAAAATCAAACTACTAGCAATATTCAAACTACTTCTCATCATGACTTGTGACTTATTTATCGTAACTACTCTAAATTTCCTAAAGGTAATTGAATTGTATAAAGCTTATCTGCACAATTGTTTAAAACATTGTTTATGTTTTGGAAAATATAAATTTAAACAATTTATATATTAAAATATTTAAATTCTACATCTACTTACTTGTGATTTTTCTTTCTATATTTATTGAATGGATCACAGCATAATTTTTTTGCACTGATAGATATTGTTAATTTTCTTTATAGGTATATTTATATATATTCAATCTATATATATCGTATTGTTAAATTGTTAAAATTGAAATAAATAATTCCTTGAAAAAGTGATATATCTTTGAAATTAAAGTTCTATATGTTTCAGTTTTTTTTTTCTAGTTAGATTTTTTGTGCCTAGTAAGATTATAAGCAACTAAAAATATTAACAGCAAAAAAAAATTTTTTTTGACGGGGGTGTTTTGAGATATCAGGTCCCAAAGTTGGTTTATAGAAACTAGTTGTTATTAACTTTTAAGCATGTTACTTGAACATTTCAGCATTTTAAGTACATTTATTGAATTTAGCATCAAAAATATATATATATATATATATATATATATATATATATATATATATATATATATATATATATATATATATATATATATATATATATATATATATATATATATATATATATATATATTTATTTTCATATTTTTGCCATTTTTTATTTCTTATTTTTTTAAGAAAAATGCTTTTTCAGTATGTAATGAAACAGGGTCATTTTGCAAAATCAGGTCAATATTAAAATTGCAGTATCTTGTCAACCGCTCAACATTTTTAGCTGAAATTTTATGTGTTAACTTTCCTTTTAAACATGTAACAGCCAAAGAAGTTTTTAAAAAATTTGAGGACCGATGGTTCAAAATTTCCCAAATTTTGTTTGATTTGATGCGGAATTACCCTTTAATTAGGAGTTTTGTATCAGATTTTTTTTCCTCTTAATTAAGTTAAGTAAGTATAGTAAGTTGCCTTTATCTCAGCTAAAGAATCTCACCTGACTTTTTTAAAATTTTTTAAAATTTTGTTTTAGAAATTTTTTTTCTGAATAAGATGATATAAAATTTTGATAAAAAATAACTATTTTTGATAAGTATTTAAACTATTACAAGCATAATAATTTTTTTTTTCAAAATAGATATAAAACTCATGTAAGTGAAATTTACTGTTAGTGAACTTGAATTGTATCTTTATATAAGTTTTTATGCCAGACAAAATCTTCAATAACTTATCTTGCATATTTTATTTCCACAACTATAAGGGTATACTGAAATTATTCTTAAAAAGCCTAAAATTTTTTTTTTTGATTTGCGTATATTTAAGTACAGCACAAAATTCTCTGCAACTTCAAAAAAAGTTTTTCTTTTCTGAAAAGAAAACCTTTTTCTGAAGAAAAAAAAGCACTATTGCACCACTTTCTCCTAAATATATCTTCTCACAAAGTGAGCCGTGCGGCAAGTCATGTAGGCATATACGGTACATATGACAGTCATCACATCCACACTAGTATAAAACAATGGCTACTGCTCCTGAAGCCATCATATCAAAAACATACGCTACAAATGATTCAACAAACACAGTAAATAAAACAGGCGATTGTGTTGTGAAATGCTTTAAAATAAAGTTTACAGCGAACAGGAAAAATTCATTGGTTGGCCTAAACTCCAAACTGGAGCACACATGTTAGGTTGAATGTTTTATCTGTGCACCACGAAACCAGGACAGAAGACTCTGTCTCAAGAGGTTGCCAGTAAAATTGTAGCAGCTGAATTCATCCAAGATTGTATTGCGTTTATCCTTTACATGTCAATAATGTTGCCAAGAAATTTTGCACTGACTGTCAGAGATTCATCAAATTTTACAAATAAAAAATAAACAAAAGTTGTAACAAATTGGACGAATAATATGTAAAAGTAAATGAGTTCAACCACAGCATGACTAAACATGCGTATGACATATATACTTAAGACAAATTGTACCAAAAGAAACTGGAGTAACAATTTGGCATGACAATGACAGAAGAAGATTAACTATTCTATCAAAATAGCTGTTTCAGGTCTTATACTTTTACGTGTCTTGATACCGTGTCTATGAAGTAGAGCAAGCAGAAGAAACGAGTACACTAAAGACTTTCATCAGCTGAGAAAATAACACAATGGTTTGATGACCCCCAAATGGCACGAAAACTGGCATATCCTGCATCACCAAAACATGTTGACAGCAGCTCTCCCAGTGACTTCTGAATTTGAACTTCTCACCATGAATCTGGATAAATCCAATCTATCATCTGTAGTAACAACGCAAAAATCAGATTTTTAATTGCAACGGTGGGTTCCTCTGTGCCAGATCATTGTTCATTTCCAAAAATAAAGGTTCGAACTGGTTCTTGCACTGTCTATGAATGGATAATATGATGCACAGTTCAGTGCATTGAGGATTACAAGGTGAGCTGAAATGATCTCATTGGAATTATTGTAGCTGCAATGAACGTAGTATTTAGACAGAACTGGTCCACTGCCAGTGACCTAGAAGAATCTGATAATACCTCGGAATCAGTCAGTGACACCTGGTCCTGATGTACTGAGTCGAAAGCGTACATGCAGGGATTTGACTTATGTATTTCGCAGTCTACAATGCATTGATATGTATTTTCAAGATGCGGTGTTTCTAAACTTGAGTATGGTTACCGATTTCATTCTCAATAAAGGTGATTCAGTCATCACATTAGGACTGTATAACACAAACAAAGCAGCGAGCCATCATATGTATGACTTTAAAATCGATGATATAACTATAATGGATCCAAATAAACAAAGGAGAACAGTCACTACGGACTACACAGAAAATGCTAGTCATTCTGAATCAGATGGAGCAGAGTTGTATTGTTTCAGACATAAATGCTTAGCAGCTCAAGCTGATGTTACAGTTGATGTCAACTTTTCTTGACCTCCCACCTCCCCCTGACATAATTAATGGACAACTAATTACTTCTTTTTCTACTAAATTGTTTATTATATATATTATATTAATTTTTAAATCGTTTTCGACAGCGTCAATCGTATTTGGGCACCAGTTGGGTGCCGCCCAAATTAAAAATTAAGGATTTTTTTTTTTTTTTTTTTACGTTTTTTACAGCAAATATTGTCCATATCGCAAAAAAATGAAGATGTTCGGAAATATTTTCGCTAAAATTCTTCGGGACGGGGGTACTGCTGCCCAAACTTTTTTCCTAGAATAGTCCCTGTGTGTGTGTATATATATATATATATATATATATATATATATATATATATATATATATATATATATATATATATATATATATATATATATATGTATGTATGTATATATATACACATTATATGACATAGTTTAAAAAAGCTTTTTTTAAAAGTATGTCATGTTGGATCTCAAAAGAAGCGAAGTTATATAAAAAATTTTAAAATAGTCATCATTTTATAAACAACATAAAAAAACAAACAAATTATAATTAAAATAATCTTGTTAAAATTTTTATTTTTTTGAAAAATTTCATATTCATGTTAATTATTTTAAAAATTTTTATATAATTTTATTTCTTTTGAGATTCAACATGACATATTTAAATATTTTTTTTCAGGCATTTAGGGTCAGATTGCAAAGCTCAGACATAAGCAATCTTATAGTTGAGCAATATGGATTTAATTTATCGCATAAAAGCTCTTATTGACCATAAGAATAAGCTCATATTGACCATAGATTTGCACTTGAGCTTTTTAAATTATTTTTTTTTATTGAAAAGATAAAAAGCTTTAGTCTAGTAGTTTATTTTGAGTAGTATCACAATCTTCCTATTTAATTCAGTTGATGTATGCACACTCCTTGCAAGTTTTACCTGTTTAAGTCAATTGATGTATGTACATTTCTCACATTTTTTTACATATGTATGTATAAATGTTTGTATGCATGTATGTATGCATGTATATTTATATCAAGTATGACTTAGAATTTCAACTTTGACTTTGATGCTAGTGACTTGTGACTTGACTTGTTTAAGTTAAGTCTCAAGTTGGTTGTTATATATTGAAAATTTTAACAATAACTTGATGAATTTATTTGTTTAGCAAATGTAAATGAGTACAAGTAGAAGAATCAAGGTCATCAAGGCCTTAGAAATGCCGTTACCAATTCATGAAGTTGCGGAGATTTCTAATATAGATGAGCTTATAACAATGAAAAAACAAATCAACAAAAAAGTTGATGAACTTTTACAATCCAAAGAAAACAAATATATTCAAACAGAGGATAATTTTCTAGAATATAAAAAGGCAAATGAACTTTTGATTCAAAATAAAATCAAATTTTTGAGTAAAGAAAAGTGTAATTTACAGAATACCCTCAGTAAAGAAAAGTTAGTATTAAAAGAAAACAAGGAGAAAAACAAGATCGTAAAAGAAAATCTTGATATCACAAAAAAAAAGGAAGATGACTTTTTAATTAAAAAACTCAACACAGAGCGTGATTATGCAACATTTAATTTATTTTGTACAACTTTTGGACTGCGTTGGGATTATTCAAGTTCAGACAATGAACTAAAAGGAATTTTCATGATTAACAATGAGTTAACTCCATTTTCTCTTAAAAAAAGTGAAAATAAAAAACATGTTTCTTGTTTATGGGATATGATTTATGTAATGGATAAGTGATAAAGTGGATAAAAACTTTTTCTAAAAGTTTCGCTATAAGTTGATATTATTTTAATAACATATTTTATTTATTTATTCTCAGTTAACCTAAGTCAATTATTATTTTTTTTGAAAGTGGAATAAAAATGATGTAGTTTCAAAAGTATTTTTTGAAAATGTTAGTATCTGTGTGTGTATATATATATACACAGTGCTCGAAGTGCGGCGGGATGTCATCTCGTTACCTTTTTATTAAGTATAAACCATCCCGCCACCTTTTTATAAATCTCTATATATAATAATGATTAGGCGGGATGGTATTTTTAATTTACCGATTATATATATATATATATATATGTATATATATATATATATATATATATATATATATATATATATATATATATATATATATATATATATATATATGTATATATATATATATATAATATTTTTCGGCGTAGCTCAAGTATGTCAACCTGGTACTCAAAATAAGCAAAATTATATAAAAAAAAATTGAAAATAAAAATCATTTTTCAAAAAAATAATTTTTTCAGATATAAATGCATAAAAACTATTGTTTTTAAACTGAAAATAAAAAAAGTCAATATTTTTAAGTTTTTTAAGAATAATTTTTTTAGGCATGTTTTTTATGTAAGTTGATTATCATTTTTGATGTTTTTATATAATTTCCCTTCTTTTGAGTGCCAGGTTGACATACTTTAGAAGAACTTTTTTTTTCAAAATACTAGGGACCCGTCAAATTTTTAAGCGTCCTGAGCTACCCCTAAAAATATTTTTTGTTCAAAAAAATTTTAAACCTAGTGTTTTAGTATCATATAGAGCAAATTAAAGGGGTAAGATCTGGTTTTCCTCATAAAAGTTGTTTTAAGAGTCACCCTAATGTATATATATATATATATATATATATATATATATATATATATATATATATATATATATATATATATATATATATATATATATATATATATATATATATATATATATATATATATATATATATATATATATTAGGGTGTCCCAAAAAACAACATTTTTGAAAATAATCTGCTCTCACCCCCTAAATGTGTTCAATCTAATACAAAAACACTATGTTTAAATTTTTTTTGAATAAAAAATATTTTAAGGGGTCCCTCAAGACCCTCGAATATTTAATAAGTGCCTAATATCTTTGAAAAAAAAGTTTTTTTAAAATATGTCAACCTGGTACTCAAATGAAGCAAAATTATATAAATATTTCAATAATAATATTTATTTCGAAATATTTTTAACTTATTTATCAAAATTATCATAAAAAAACATTAGAAATGCATTTTTTTCATTTTTTCTTAAAAAACGCAATTTTTTATGTAATAAAACCAAAAATAACAATTTTGTTTCGAAATGAATATTATTTTTAAAATTTTTATATAATTTCGCTTCATTTGAGTACCAGTTTGACATATTTTTGAAAAACTTTTTTTTCGAAAATATTAGGGACCCATTAAATATTCAAGGGTCTTGAGGGACCCTTTAAAATATTTTTTATTCAAAAAAAATTTAAACCTAGTGTTTTTGCATTAGATAGAACACATTTAGGGGGTGAGAGCAGATTATTTTCAAAAATATTTTTTTTGGGACACCCTAATATATATATATATATATATATATATATATATATATATATATATATATATATATATATATATATATATATATATATATATATATATATATATATATATATATATATATATATATATATATATATATATATATGTATATATATATATATATATACATACATATATATGTATATATATTTTCTATTTAGCATAATAAAAAAATATATATATATATATATATATATATAATATATTTTAATATTAGTTCTTTAAATTCTAATATTTTTATTATAGTTATATTTATTCACTTACTAAATTTTTATATAAAATATTTATTAAATTTTATTTGTATATGTTTTATGTATGTTTTTCTATTTTTAAAGATTTACTTTTATTTGTATTATATAATTGTACACTTAGTGTTTATTATATTATTATTTTTTTTAAAATAATGCGCATTAAAGAATGAGTTTTTTTATATTGTAAAAACCAAATTGTTATTATATTTTTTGAAGTCTTCTTGAAGATTTTATTATGGCAAAAAGCAAATATGAATATGTTAAAAAGTTTGAGCAGAATGAAACCTGTTTATTAAATTGTTGGATTGTTGTTCGAATTGATGGCAGAGGATTCCACAAGTTTACACATGACCATTTGTATGAAAAACCAAACGATATCAGAGGTTTATCACTTATGAATTTTTGCGCAAAAGAAGTCATGAAGCAGTTCCAAGACATTGTCATTTCGTATGGACAAAGTGATGAGTATAGTTTTGTTTTTTCTAAAAATACGAGCCAGTTTAAAAGACGGTCCTGTAAATTAATGAGTAATATTGTTTCTTTATTTTCTTCAAGTTTTGTTTTCTATTGGAAAACATTTTTTTTAAATGATTTAATTTATCCACCTCAGTTTGATGGAAGAATAATATTATACCCTTCTCTTGAAAACATTCGTGATTACTTAAGTTGGCGTCAAGCTGATTGTCATATAAATAATTTGTATAATACATGTTTCTGGTCTCTTGTTAATAAAGGTGGATTGTCTACACTAGATGCAGAATTAAAACTGAAAGGAACACTGGCTAAAGATAAAAATGAGTTACTGTTTTCTGAGTTTGATGTTAATTATAATGATATATCTCCAATTTTTAGAAAAGGTAACATAGTTATTAGACAAAAAGTTGCTGAAGAAATAATGAAAGAGAAAAATGGTGAATCAGTTAAAGTTATAAAAGAGAAGAATGATACTGTTATTCTCCATGATGATATTATTGGAGAAAATTTCTGGAAAAAGTTTCCAGAGATTTTGACTTAATTTTTTATAATGATCTATTTTACTTAATAATCTATATTCAAATATACAGTTTTGCTTATATTTTGTACAAATAGTTCACCTTTTTTGATTTATATATATATATATATATATATATATATATATATATATATATATATATATATATATATATATATATATATATATATATATATATATATATATATATACACACATGTAAATTATGTTAGTGTATTCTAAATGTACTCAATGTTCATAAAGATCAGAGCAATATTATCAAATTTTTTTCTTCAACAACTTGATTAACCATCGGTAGGTTCATCAGGAAGAATGTCTAAACATCAAAAAAAGTTTTTTTTTCACAGGAAGTTGGAAATTGTTATAGTTAATTATGTAAAAATGGCAGTTATTTTGCAACTGGGCAGTTGCACCAACTACATTAAAATTAAAAATAATCATGAAAAGAATTTTTTAGAATTGGGATAATTTTAGTCTGATCATTTCTATTTATAGTTTTTTTAAGGTACTTATTTTTGTGTCTGCATTTAGAAATTATACAATTTTCGGAAATGTTATTATAGGCAGGCACAGTTTTTTGAATATAATATAATATATATATATATATATATATATATATATATATATATATATATATATATATATATATATATATATATATATATATATATATATATATATACTGGGTACTTGTCCAGGTCATTTACCAGTCATTTTATAGGACCCATATTTTGTGTGCATTTATTTTATAATTTTTTCAGGTGTTCCAAAGTTATTAGTAAATTCAGTATAGTATATAAACTTCAATATTTGAAATTTTTGTTTTATATATAAAACAGAAAATGAAGATAAGCTCACAGTTATGCTAAAAAAGTATGCTAGTTTTTTTTTTTTAAACACAAATATATATATATATATATATATATATATATATATTTTTTTTTTTTGCATGCATGGTTTTTACAATTTTTATTAAAACGTTACAATTAATTATTATTAGTTTGAATTATGGTTTTTATTATATGTATAATATTCGTATAACAAAATTATGTATAAATAAGGTAGGAGGGGAGGGGAGGCGATTGCCTCCCTCCCTAGATATTTTGGAATGATTTTATGTGACATCATCTAAACTCTTATATAAAATATATCAATATATGCCATAGTTCATAGTTAGATAAAAGAAGTTTAAGATTGAAATTTTAAAAATTTAACCAAAAATGTTTTATGATTTGAGAGTTTGTCTGCTCACAAATTGTTAAACCTGACAATCGTCCCCCTACTTTACTAGATCCACCTAGGATTTGGTCTGGATCCACCAAATCAAAAAAAAATCCTTCCTTTATCCGCCTTTGAAAAAGAATTTTGACTTAACTGCTATCCTTGACTTTAAAAAGCATTTTTAAAAACATTTTTGAAATTTTTTTAAAAATCATATTTGTTTTTTAAAATATTAATGCTTATTATATTATATTTAAACAAAAAGTTTATCTTTTAGATTTTCTTGTTGAAAGAATTAGAATTATATTAACATATATGCAAATAATATGTATAATCATTAAGACAAAGAAATTTCTTAATTCTCCATTAGTAAAAATATTGTACTCATCAAATTCTTTATCTATATACTTATAGAAGACCGCTAGTATTGAAAAAAGATTTATAAAGTGCTTACTGTAGAAATTAAAAATCAGATATTATTAAGTGTTCTGAGTTTTTCTTAACTTAAATATTTCGGCTGCATTTAAATGAAAACTTACTCTTTTAACAATTCTAATAGCTATTGTTTTTCATAATTTAAAAAAAAAACATCTGTAATCTTTTTTTTTTTTTTTTTAAACTGTATGGATATGGGTGGTAACTGATTAACTAGTAGTATATTAACAAAGTTTTCATGATCAATGTTCTAAATATTAGGAAATTTTAAAAACAATATATATTACTGTGTTTTTAAGACATCGATAATTTGGGTACCTATTTTTTTTTTTTTTTTTCTTTTGACTAACAGGTATTTTTAAATTATTATATATCAGTATTCCAATTTTATCTTATTTGACTTTAAAATATCGACTTTTAAATTATATAAACTTTAAAAATGGCAATCTTGATTACCTTTTTAGAAAACATAAACAAACTTAAACCAATCATTTTTTTCTGATAAAAAAACAATTAATCAAATTGTTACTCTTGACGAAAGAATCTTTTGCGTAATTTAGTTTTTAAAAAATATAAAAATATAAATACTTAAAACAAATTCTTATCACAAATGGGGAAAAGAAAGATCACTAAAATAAAAAAGTTAAACTAAAATGTTAATTTAAACCCACGACGACCACTTTACTTTCTCAGAAGTCCGATTTCTGTTTTTCCTCAACATCAACTTCCAACAAATGGAACAGTTCTACGATATTATCAGTATATTATTACAGAAAAAAGTAAAAGGTTCAAGTCTACCCAAGAAAGTTTTTCATGCAAAACAAAGAGTGGGAGTAGGGATATGGTTTGCCTTGACAAAGATATCTGTTATGACAATATAGAGATAAGCTGCATAAGACAAATTGTTTTTATATAGAAATATGCTGGCTTTGGATACTACATAATTTAAAACAAGTACAAATTGTGCAAAAGTAAAATAAAAACAAGTACAAATTGTGCAAAAGTTTATTAAACTAAATAAATAGTACATTTCAATGCGAAATACAAGTTATTTAGCCTGGAACATAGTTACCAAAAAAACCCACAAAAATCAGTTTGAAGAATTTCTTGAAAATTTATTTGATTTTTCTCAAAAAAACATAGAAGCAAAAATAAAATCAGATAAATATATGCCAAAATCAAATGATACAGTGATAAAAGATTTGGCTTTTCTTTAAGATCAAAGAACATTGAGGAGAGGTGTGATGAGTGAAAAGACATTGATGTGAAACAAAGGGTTGAAAGGGGAATTAAAAGGTATGAAAGAATGAGATCTTATGAAGAAAAGTGCAGAGTTAATGAAGGTTTTAAATTTGATTGCAAAATTGATTTAGAAATGGATGAAGTGATCTCTCATGAATCAGATGAAACCGAGGCATCAGGTAAATTATATCTTAATCTTTTATTCCAAAATATTTTTATGAAAAAGAAGATAAAACTTTTGTTCACTTTATTAATTCATTAACGCTTTTTGTTACTTAGGTTCTGCGACTCACCAGTCTTCTGTTGCTAGTGATAGTGATTTAGATTTTCCAGAAAGCAATAAAAATCAGCTTCCAACACACACAAAGTTAAAGCGTCAAAAAACATCTAAGTCTGGCTGTTCAGAAATAGCAATAGAGTTCGACAGAGACAAGCTTCTATTAGCTATAACACCTGTTAGTGTTAGATGTGGAATTAGCATTTGCTCACAAATGTTTCTAGGAGTTGTTATTAAAGCTTTAGGGGGAAATGTTCATGTTTTAAATATATCTAGAAGCTCAATAAATAGAAGTAAATTCAAGTATATTGAAGATTTAGGTAATTTTTTTTTACATTCAAAATACTTATAAAAAAATAAGAAATAATGATTATAAATAGAAAAAAAATCTTTTTAATCTAGGAGCCACCATCAGATCAAGCCATTATGAAGAAATGGTAGGAAAGAATTTGATCTTGCACTTTGACAGTAAGTTGGTAAAAGAAATAGTGGAAAAGTTAAAAATTACAGTTAAAAACGAAAGGGTTGCGGTATCTGTTACCAGTCCTGAATTTAATACAAAAGATGATTGTCTACTTGGAATTATAGCTGTGGAGACCAATAAAGGAAAAGATCATATATTTTAAATAGCTGATAATATAATTTGAGTCTGTACTGATACTACATCAAGTAATACAGGTAGACTAAATGGAGCTATAATAATTATTAGTAGAATTCTTAACAAGTGTTTGTTTTGGTTTATGTGTCGTCACCACATATATGAACTCCATATAACTCATGCAGTACATCACAAAAGTTAAATCTAAGGGTCCAAGCAAGTCTATGTACTTGGCTTTCCAAAGACACTGGGAAACTTCTCATGAATCTGTAAACTCATGAACTTCTGAACTGAAAATTTTTTATTGGAACAAGCTGTAAATAGGTAGCAGGCTTTACATCTTGGCGCTAGCAGCTAAAGATTATACAAAGTATTCGTTGGAGAATAAAATTTTTTCAAGAAATGACTATAACTACCTTGTAAAATATTTGGCTTTTTATCTTGGCTTCAAATCTAATAAGCTTAATAAATTTAAAATTCATCAACCTGGAGCTTGTCACGAAGCAAGATTTATGGCTGATACTTTGTATATTCTTACACTAGAAATGACATCCACTATTATAACCTTTTTACCTGATGAAAATAAAAATGAAATTGAAACATGTACCTTTATTGTTGCTGTTTGTTATGCTCCATGGTACCTCAAGTCTAGAAGCCCTCAACATGCTGTACTTAATGATTTTAATGCATTTAAATCAGCATATGTTATCAAGGATGAATTTAATGCCGATGTTGGCAATGCTTTGATTAAAAGTTTTTCATAAACATTTGTGGTATCTTTCTCCAGCAGTAGTTGTTTTTTCACTAGTTTACTCTCACTTGGAAATGTCTGTCAAGTATGAGATTTTGAAGTCATTAATTTCTTTTCCAGTTCCAGAGCTAGAAAAAATAAATATTGAAAAACCTAATCCTGTTTTAATCTTACCAAACAGCAAGCTTTCAGACCTTGTTACTGCTGATAGCTGGCTTATATTTATACGCCTCGGAATCGTAAATCAAGTCAAAGATTGAATTCGTTCTCATCCCAACTTCTTGAAAACTGAATCATATAGTGTTTTTGAAAATTTTGTCAAAGGACTTAGTGTACCTAACAATTGCGCTAAAAGAAACATCGGATTAATAAATAATTTTTTAAAATATTCTCAAAAAGAGCAGCGTAGATAAAGATTCAAGTGAAAATAAACAATTCAATCAAAATTTTGGATTAATTGATGGAGTAATGTCTTATTTATTGGCACTAGCACCCCAACAAATTTTTATTGCTTTTGAATTGGTAAACTTTCAACAATACTTCTGTGCTTGAATATCTTTGTAAAAGCGAAACTTAGTTTTTACAAATTTAGTTGTTTATTTATTTTTTTTGCAAATTGCAATTCACTTTTTTTCTATGTGTATATTGATATTGTGTAATCCTTATACAAGTACTAATACAGAGAAACGTTAATTTAAAAAGATTAATAACTATTTTGAACAAATTTTTCAGAATTTAAATTTAAGTTTTCTTATAAATTATGTATTAAAACTTATTCATTAACAATTTTGTAAATACGTACTAATTTTCTTAGGTTGCCATTTTTAAAAAGAAATTTATTTACATATAAACTAAATATACTTGTAATATTTTTCTGACCTTGTCAAATTCTTTTTGTACAAGTGTTTACTCTCAAGTTCTTAATACAAAAGAAGGGAAATCTATTAACTTTTGCAAAATACCCACCCTTAACGTATTAAGATTCATTAAATTCATTAATTTATTAACTTTCACTCGTTGTCAAAGAAACTATTTACTGATAAAAATAAAAACTTTTTGTATAGTAAATTTGTAAAAGAAACTATTTACTGATAAAGATACAAACTTTCCTTCTAGTAAATTTTTTTTGTTAGGTTTTGTTGGACATATATATATATATATAAATATATACATGAAATTTCTGATGAGTCTTTATTGATGAAACAGTGTAAAATGAGAAAAATTGTTGTTGAGTGATTTTCTACTAATTTAAATATATATAATTTTATATATATATATATATATATATATATATATATATATATATATATATATATATATATATATATATATATATATATATATATTTGTTATTCACCTCCTCAAGGCCGAGAAGGCCACTACAGATGAGGAGGCTACTTAATAGTGGTTAAAACCCTCTCTCAACTCTATAACTCTGAAACAGGAACCCTGACAAACAAGGCCGCTGCGCGGAGAAACAAGTTGAGCGCAGTACTACCAAGGACGTGGTGGGGATCGAACTCAGAACTTTTCGCTTATAAAGCAAGCGTTTTACCACTACACCACTACCGCATATATAAATATATATGAACATATATATATATATATATATATGTATATATATATATATATATATATATATATATATATATATATATATATATATATATATATTTATATTTATATGTTTATATATATTTATATATATATGTGTGTTTATATATATACACACACATTTATATATACATATTTATATATATATATTTTTTTTATTGTTTATAAATATATTTGTAAATAATAATGTGAATTAAACATGAATTTTTTTGATGTGTAAATAATATAAATGTTAACAGCGCTTAAAACAATGAGCAGTCAATTGTAATATTCAGAAAATTTATAAAAACCAAAAGAATGTTTTTCCACCACTTTGCGTCAATAAAGTTTATTTTAATACAAAAAAAAAAGTATTCAAAACATTCTAAAACCATGGGCAAGTTTAGTCTGTCAAATTAACTTTTAATCAGCCACTGCTTTTTTATTTTAAGCGCTGCCTATGGACATTTCGTTAAAAATTTACAACTATTAATACTATTAATGTTATTTATTTTTTAATTTTTTTAGTAAATATTATTATAAAAATGACTATCGATAAATTTGATGCTGATGAAGATGCTCTTGTGTCCAGTGATAGCCAATGCACTGAAACAGCAGTAAAGGGTAAAAAAGCTACTCGAGGTAAACGAAGGACAGCAGACTTTGAAAAAAGTGTTACAGCCAGTAAAAAGGCCAAAAGTGATACTACTTCTAGTTCTTTATTGCCATTTCATGGATATCCTTTGGAACACCCTTATAATAAAGATGGATATGGCTATATTCTTGCTGAACCAGATCCAAATGCAGATCGTCGAGATTTCGAAGAAGACTCATTTGCTGGAAAGCCAATTCCTGGAGAAATATACAGAGTTTCCTTACAGCCCCAAGTTTGTTTAGCGCTTCATGATAGAGCCCCCCAATTGAAATTATCAGAAGATCGTCTTTCTGTAACAGGAGAGAAAGGTTATTCGTGTGTGCGGTCTAACTATGGAGTATCAAGAGGAAATTGGTTTTTTGAGATAACAATAGTATGCATGCCTGAAGCATCAGCAGCCAGATTAGGCTGGTGTCAACAATATGGAAATTTACAAGCACCTTTAGGTTATGATAAATTTAGCTACTCATGGAGAAGTTGTAAAGGCACAAAATTTCATCAGAGTCACGGAAAGCATTATGGCGAAGGATATGCTGAAGGTGACATTCTTGGTTTTTATATATCTTTACCTGAAAATAATGTAATTACATCTGATTATCTTCCTAAAACATTTAAAGATAAAGCATTGATAAAGTTTAAAAACCACTTACATTATGAAGAAAAAGACATGAGTGAAATAGTAGAAAAAAGTTTAACAGCTCATCGAAATAGTAGTATTTCATTTTTTAAAAATGGAAAAAACCAGGGTGTTGCATTTGAAGATATCTTTAATGGTGTTTATTATCCAGCTGCATCATTATACAAAAACTGTACAGTGGAATTCAATTTTGGCCCAAAGTTCAAATTTCCACCATCTTTTACTAATTACAAGCCTATGAGTGACCGTGTTGAACAAATGGCAGTTGAACAGTCTTTATCAGATTTAATATATTTGGTTTGTTTAGAAGATGAAAAGCGTTCCAAAAAGAAGAGAAAAAAATAACGTTTTTAAAGTAAATGATGTTTTTAATATTTTTTTGAATAATACATAAATTTTCTATTTTCTCTTGAGTTATTAACTTACCCTGAAATACCCTGAAAATGTTTTTAGAAGTACTAATACACTCTGAAGATCTCTTTAAAATTATTAAAACACTCTAAAGTTGCCTTTTAAATAAGTTATAATAATGTTAAGTTGTCTTACTAAACCTTAGTCATTGAAGGTTTTGTTTGATAGTTTTTGTTTGATTTTGAAACAAGTTTAATTAGTATTACTTATATGTGGTAGGGTTTGGAGTAATAAGTATAACATTGTTACATGTTTTCATTTCACAAACTTTTTTTAATGATAAGCTTTTCTTCAAATTTACAACGAAGCAATTTTTTATATTTATTAGCATATTTAAATTCACTTACCTTTAAAAAGGAAAAACAAGTTTATAAGTTAATAAATATATATGTTTAAAAAGGTTACTTTTCCCCCAATAATATAAGTAATAAATTTAGTAAAAAAATTTATATATTTAATTATTTTAGTTTGAACAATGGTTAATTCAAATAAAGTTATCATAGTTCTAAGTGGAAAAAGAAAAAGTGGGAAAGATTATATTGCAGATAAAATTTTTAACAAGATTGGTAACGATACTTGTGTGCAAATTAAATTGGCAAATCCTATTAAAATGCATTTTTCAAAGAAATTTGGACTAAATTTTGAAGAGCTGATAACATCTTCTCCTTACAAAGAAGAAGTGCGTAAAGAAATGATACTCTGGGGGAATGAACAGCGACTTACTGATCCTTTTGTGTTTTGCAAAATGATTACAAATGATGCAGTAAGCTCAAGAAAAAACGTTTGGATTTTAACAGATGCAAGATTGCGAACTGATGTTGAATATTTTAAAAAATATGCAATAAAAAATAATTTTCACTTTATTTGCTTAAGAGTTGTTGCTGATGTGCCAACACGGCAACTAAGAGGCTGGACCTTTGTTGAAGGAGTTGATGATATATCTTCTGAATGTGGTTTAGATGATTACAGTGATTGGGATTTTGTTTTTTTAAATTCAAGTGGAGATAATATTGAACATAATATTGAAAGTTTTTGTTCTAAAGTTAAGGCTTTGCTTTTAAAAGAATAAAAAAAAAGTTATCCATTTTCTCTTTATTAATAAAATAAAATTTTTTACAAAATAAATTATTTAATAATTTTTTATTAGAATCTTTTTAAATTCATTGTGGTACAATAAAACTTTTTTAGTAATAAACGTTTTACCTGCTATAATTTTAAATTTACTTTTAAATTTTTTTTTTCAACACAACATTTGTGTAAATATTGGAATATTTAGTAGAAAAATATTTAATAAAGTAAAAATTTGATTAAAAATAAAATAAGCTTATTACAGTAATCACTATTTTTTATTCGTTCTAATTGTTTTATTTATCTCATTAATTTTTTATTAGTCTCTAATGTTTCAAAAACAGATTCTCTTACTGAATAAATATCCTCAGCTTTTACTAATTTCAATATTTTATTTGCTATTCTCAACCTTAATTAGACTCTGGCTTGTTTATTAATCTAAGTTTGTTTCTTTCTTATGAATATGAATGAACTTTATGAAATGTCTACAAAATATGTTAAATACATTTTTTTGCTTTCACAGTAAAGAAAAAAAAAAACAAATTTTGGTGCTATCTAAAAGTATTTATATGGACTTGAATAAAATATTTAAGAAATTTGATCCATCTTGTTTAAATTCCTTTATCAAAATTTCCAAAAAGTGTTTACTCTCTTCCCTATTTTTGAAGGGTCACTCCCTTACCCGCTGTTTATATGGCACAGTAAACTGGCTTGTTTAAATGTAATGCTCACAGTTATTAGTTGTTTTTGTATTTTGTGTATAGATTTTTACAATAATTACTTCCCATTTGGATTAGTGTAATGTATATAGTGAATTCAGCGTATGGTATAAAACGGGTATGAAGGGAATGGTAATCCTTTTATTCATAGTATAACAATAAAAATACTCAGTCCTGATCTGCAAAACTCATACTGAGAAGGGCATCTGGTTATAAAAAAATTGTTAAAAAAAATAATAAATTTACCTCTTAATTATTGAAGGTGCTTAGTTATTTAATTTGCCTGGCAACCCAGAGATAGAAAAAGTTGTTGGTTATCTTGAAACCTCTGCAGTGTACTGGGTACCTGGAAATTTTAATTAGCGGGTACCCGGCAAACATACATAAATTACAGGGTGCCCATCACCTCCCAGGATTGTTGAGCCATTTCAAAATTTACCTAGCTCTTTCAGGGGTAGCCAGGCTCCTCCAAAAATTACCAAGCAACTCCAAAAATTACCAGGTACCAAGCACAAGAAACAAAATTGCCAGGTACCTGGCACATCTCTAATCTTATATACCTTTTCTTATATAATAATAAAATATTTTTCAGATTATTATTACATAAAATGGTAGTATTTCAGGTGTATGAAGTATTTGAAACAGAAGAAAAAGGAAGAGGAGTTCGTGCTCTACAAGATATTAAGCGTGGTGTGGAGATTCTCAAAGAAGAGCCACTTGCATGTATACTTACAAATAGCAAGTATCGAGGTATAAGATGTGACTATTGTTACAGTGAACCTGAGAAGCTATTGAAATGCTCAAAATGTAAATTTATAGCATATTGTGGAAAAGTCTGTCAAGCAAGTGATTGGAAAATGCACAAATATGAATGTAAGTGTCTCACTAAATCTGCTCCAAAGCAACCACCTGATTTCTGCCGATTGGTTAGTCAATTAATATTCAATTTTTACTACAACAAGAAAAACACACTAATTAATAATCTTTATGCTAACAAAGGAAATATATCAAATGCTAGAAAAGAAGCTTTTTTCACATTTGCTGCAGTATTAGTGGAATATTTACAAGATGTAAATATTAATATAAATGATATTGACATATATGGCTTGATGTGCAAAGCATCATGCAACAGTTTTGCTATCACAAATGCAGAGCTTAACTCATTGGGTATGTTTTTTTTTTTTAAACTATTACTTTTTGATATATAACTTTTTAAAATATAATTCAATAGTATGATATCACTAACGGTTTATTTTAAAATAAATAAAGCTTAATGCTGTTTTTTGTAATAGTATTTTTAAGACAGTGTAATCATATAGGCTAAATAATATAGGTATGATTGCAATTATAAAGAATCATAAAGAGCATAAAAAATTTTTACGATTTTTTTTTTTGTCAACAGAGATTAAGAATGAACAAATCTTTATCTGATTTTATTATGAAAGAATATTGACGCATGACTACTTTTTTATGAAAGAATATTGACACATGACTGCTTTTTTATGAAAGAATATTGACGCATGACTGCTTTTTCTATAAAAGAATATGAATGCTTTTTCTATGAAAGAATATTGAACCATTTATTAGGCCTGAGTATAAGTTTTTTATGCCTCTGAAATATTTCAGTTCAACATTTCTGAGTGATCTCTAATTTTTAGAGCTGATTATACAAAATTAGTTAAAAATTGAATAAAATACAAATGTTATATAAAATCAATTAGAAATGAAATGTGCTATTGATAATAAAAAATCACACACACACACACATACACACACACACACACACACTATATATATATATATATATATATATATATATATATATATATATATATATATATATATATATATATATATATATATATATATATATATATATATATATATATATATATATATATATATATATATATATATATATATATGTATATATATATATATATATATATAAATATATATATATATATATATATATATATATATATATATATATATATATATATATATATATATATATATATATATATATATATATGTATGTATATATATATATATATATATATATATATATATATATATATATATATATATATATATATATATATATATATATATATATACATACATATATATATATACAGGGTTAAACTAGCCCTGTGGCACCCCGTCAAACACGGTTTTCCCAAATGTTCATAAAATTAAAATTCCCAATTTAAAGATGAAAAAATCCCATTCTCCAAATAAAGTTTTTTAATTAAAGTTTAATAATAATTCTAAAAATAATTAAAAATTAATTATTATTCAAATCTCGCCACCGCCAACTCAGCGCTTGAGTAGTACTTCGGTACGCAAAAATGTTGGTCAATAACGGACGCTACTTTAGATTAGTCTTAATGACTATTTGTGGCTGTTCCTATGCTAAGCCAACAATATCTTCGAATATAAGAACATTGTATAGAAAAATATAGCATCAAAACTCAAATTAAAAAAAATATATATATTCAAAACTTATAGAAAAATAACATAAAAAAATTCTAATTCATTAATTGCGTAAAACATGAAATCAAATCGCCATTATTGGTAAAAAAACGCAATTGCATAACTGCGAAAATAGGTTTCTTGGAAAAAACATCATGAGAATTGGGATTTTTGGAGCGATTTTTGGGATTTTTGGAGCAATTTTTGCAATTTTTGTGGCAACTTGCAATAAAGTTTGAAAATAGTTTTTTGCAATGCATTTCAACAACAGCAAATATTATATAAAAAAGTTAGCAAGAAATAAAGTACTAATCTAAAAGATCCAAAATAATAACAAACTTGTTTGGTTTAACACTAGTTCTTTAAAAGTTTCGCCCTTTTTGGCTAAAAAGTTAAATAACTTATTATATCTTACCGTAAACTCAAATTTAAGTAGTACATATATTTCGTCAACAAAAACATCGAGAAGGTTATGTCAGATACCTTTTGGTCAATTATGGTTATTACGGAAAGTCTTTTAGTTATTGTTTTTTCTTTTTTTCAAAATAATTAATATGCGCTGATTATTTTATAATAAAAAAAATATATCATTCCTAATATATGTCATCGTGAAACAACAGCTAATTTTGTGTTGATTTCATATTCATCTTTAATAATACAGATGGTATTATATTTTATTTTTGGCGCTGATCAATCAATGTATGCAGCGCTGAAGTAGAGTAGAAAATAAAAGAACACCAAAAAAGGAACCCATGCTTTCCCACAACACATTTTAATAATAATTTTAAAAAAAGTGGGGCCTATGCTCCATTATTATTGGAGGTTTCATCTCTGTTTCTTTGTTGGTTCAGGTCAAAGTTCAAATAGTTATACCTTTGGAACCTGTCAGAATTAGATTATCAAATTTTGAGGATAATCATAATTTATTAAAATCTATCAGTTGTGTAAACAATCAGCAAAATTCTACTGATCATTTAGAAATACCCTCATTTAAAAATGTGGTCGTCTATAAAGTTAATCCTAAAAGTTGTTTTATATAGTTTAAATTTATCATAAAAAATACACACTTCTATAAATAAAAAGTAGTATATATAAATATAAATATGTTTAATTTTTGTTTAATGTACCATTTTAATGTTATTTGATCATAAACCTGATTTAAAATATTTTTTCTTTACAAAAATAAGTATTTTAAAATTGATCTATAATCTTAGAAAAAATTTAACTTTATCGTCAAAAGCATTTTTAAAAGCAATCTCAATATATAATATTTCTAATAAACAAATTTAATATTAAAGTTATAAATATAAATATATTTAAATTTATTTATTTCATGTATTATTTCATAAATAAAAGATTATAAAAAAAGACTACATCGTTTTTTTTTATAATCTTTTAACTATGAAGTATATAAATATATTTTATATATGGTTTACGTTTATATTTCATTCTTCAATGAACTTACCCCAAGGCTGCATTTTCATACCTCTACAAGTAAACTTTCTTGTGATGGTTATAATAACTATGATAGCTTTACTTCTTAAGGACAGAAGCTTTTAGTGTTGTTTGTTCTTTAAAACATTAAAAAAATTTTAACTAATTATTTTTTAGAATGGATGAAAAAACCTTTTTTTTCAAAACTTTAACTATGAAAAACGAGTCTTGACAAACAAGTCCACTTTGCAAAGATACAAGTTCATACCAATGCCACTATATAGTGAAATTGTTCATTCAATCTTTAACTAGTGCAGCAAAAAGAGCTCAGGCATATTACATAATAACATTTTTCTTAACTTATTTGCTTTAATGAACAAATAATCATAAATTATCATTTATGATTATTTGTTCAGAACAGAAGTTATATTAAAAATACTATTTTATAAAATGCTATCAATCTAAAAGATACTTAAATACAGAGAATTTTTTCAGAAAAAGTAAACAAAAAAAAATTTTTTTAAATCTTAATAAAACCTTTTATATATAGGTAGTATCTGCCCAAATCCAAATCTTCATTTTTTTTATTTTTTTTTTTTATTTTAATTTACCTCCTCAAGGCCGAGAAGGCCACTACAGACGAGGAGGCTACTTATTTGTGGTTATAACCCTCTCTCAACTCTATAACTCCGAAACACGAACCTTGATGAGCAAGGCCGCTGCGCGGAGAAACGAGTTGAGCACGGTACTACCAGGGATGTGGTGGGGATCGAACTCGGAACCACTCGTTTATGAAGCGAGCGCTCTACCACTACACCACTACCGCATTTGATTTGATGCATGTATTCAACAAAACCTATGAGGTTTCAATTTTGGTCTAGGTTTTTGATTGTGTTAAAGTCTGATCTGTCTTGTAGTTTCTTCATTCAGATTTTTATGCATTTTAACTTAATTACATACATTCTACTATATATATTAATCAGAAAGTTATTATGTAATCACATAAAAATGACTGTATAATTCTAATTGGAGCTGTAAATATGGTCAAGATCACATGTTGCAAGGCCATGACCATGGCTACATGTTTAAAGGCCAAGACACCATGTTGTAAGGTCAAAACACTATGTTGTAAGGTCAAGGCCCCAGGTTCAACACCCATAATCAAATTCAATGCCATTGTCAATGAGATCAATACTAAAAGTAAGATAATGGTTATGATGACAGTTTATTTTGAGTTGATCAATAGAATAATAGTTTATATGTTTTTGAAATTATATAACTCTTAATTTTCTATATAACATTTTAGGAACTGGAATTTTTTCATCAGCCTCGCTTTTTAATCATTCCTGTGATCCAAACTGTGTTGCTACTTTCAATGGCAGAGATATTTCTATTAGAGCAATCAAACCTATTGCGGAAGGAGAAGAGTTAATGTTATCTTATATTAGTATTTTAGCTACATCTGATGTTAGACAGCTTGAACTCCGGGAGTCATATATGTTTACTTGTAAATGTACAGTTTGTTCTAGAAAGGAAGTTAATGACTCTCTTATGAAAAGTGTCAAATGTTCACAACCTCAATGTTTATGTATGAAGTTTTTAATCACAGCTCCAGGTAAAAAAAACATTTGTTTGGTAAATTATAATATTTTTAAAATATGTCTATTAGATTAATTAAATTAAGTATTTATTAATCACTTGCAATTGTGAAATCTCAGAAAATTAATTTCATTTTTAAAAACTTTTTTGCCAAAGTTTGTTTAAATAAGATTTTCTTCAATTTAAACGTGACATCACCAACAGTTAAACAAAAGATGCTATTAATCTAAAACCCTATGCTCAAATAAAATTTGTTTTTAATGTTATTTTTTTTTTCAATCAATTTTTTTAAATTGGTTGCTTAATGTTTTGTTGTTGTTGTTGTTGTTGTTGTTGTTGTTGTTGTTGTTGTTGTTGTTGTTGTTGTTGTTTTATCTTAACTTGAGTGAGTGAAACTGTTTTAATATTATTTTTTTCTATTTCAAAGCAGTTCAAGATTAATTTATCATTAATCTTGAACTGCTTTGATTAAGTCGACTTAATATATCATTAATAAAAGTTCTTTATAATAAGTTTCATTAATTCAACTTATAAAAAAGTCAACTTAAAAATGCACAAGAATAAAAGATTTTTAAAATTAAATAGATTTTGAAATTGAAGCCTTAATCATTAAATTATTTTAAATTGTTGCTGAAGAAAGGAAAGCTAAACATACATGAAAAATATTATGTATAAAAATGTGGGCTTTAAAAGTGTGCATTAGCACACAGCATCTTATTAACATAGTGCTTCTAATCCATTTTTAGCTGGGATCCATAGATTCTGCAAACATATTTGACCTGTTTTTGAATAATTGGTTTCTGATTTTTTGAAATTACTTTTTTAGTATCGATCTTTATAGCAAAATCAGTTTTTATAAAAAGTCATCATTTGATTACTTTGAATAGGATTGTAACCATGAATATAAACTTTTTTTGCAGGCTTGCAGTTTTGTAAATTTTATTTGAAATTTTATTTTTACGCTCATAAATTTTTCTGAATGGTAGTATTCTTACAAAATTTCAACATTTTTACAAGGTTTTAACTTAAATGAAATTGGTTCTCTACTAGATAATTATAATGCTGTTTATTTTTTCTTGTTTTATAATTATTATTATTATTATGATGGCTGTTCTAAATAGCATTTCTTCTTACACTAAAGTATTAGTTAAACAACTTTTTAGCATTTCTTCTTAACTAAAGTATTAGTTAAACAACTTTTTATAATATTTATATAAGGGAATGAAACAACGTTTTATAATATTTATATAAGGGAATGAAAAACTTTTACTTGTAAAGTTTAAAAAATTGATCGTTTATTTTTAGAAAGCAACAAATGCTCATGTCAAAAGAATTGCGAAGCTAGTAATGATTATATCCTTAAAGCTAATGATTGCATGGATAAACTACAGGCTCTCTACAATTCTATAAGTGTTGTTCCAACAATAGAGCAACAAAAATCACTGACCCAACTTATAAGGTGTGGTGAAGAAATACTTTGTTCACCAAATATTGCTTTGTTACAATGTTATGAAGTAGCCATGGATGGCTGCATTGAGAGTGGAGATTGGAAAGGAGCATTCCAATATGGCATCAAACTAGAGTGTTCATACAAAAACTATTTATCGGAGTATCACCCGACTCTTGGATTGCATTATTTTAAATTAGGTTGTCTTTTGTGTAACAAAATATTTGTTTATGAATATATATAGGTATTATGTTTAAGTTTAATATCACTTACAAAATAATTTTAAAGTGTGAATAATTTATTAAAAAGTTATAAAAAAAAAGCACCTGAATATGAAAAGGCTTTGTCACGAACACACACACACACTCTTCCAGTGGTTTATATTATATTAGCAGTTATAGTATATTATAGTATATAATTTATAATATTTTATTAGTTCCCCGAATTCATGTTGTACACTTTAAGTTTTAAAGGATAACTTTAAACCAGGCAGTTTTTCAGAAGATGTAAACAAAGAATGAAAAAAAAAAGCTTTTTATATTTAGATAATAGTTGGCTAACTCAAACTCTCAGTCAACATGAGAGTTTGAGTTAGTCATTAGTGTCAAAATAAATTTGTAAATCAAAGTAAATAGAGTTGTTATGTGTTTGTTGCTAAGAACATGTTAAAGAATGTTTTGGTGCGATTCAAGCAATTCTTTTAAATCAAGAATTATTTGTACATCGCCCCCACCAAATGAAGTTGTTAAATTAAGTACTTTTCAAATATCTGTTTTTGTATCAAATTTGTTAGGTTTGTTTAAAAATCTCTATTTTTTTTTTAGTTATTAACTTTTAGTAAAATATATATTTTTGTTTTAAATTTTAGGCAAATTAGCATTGCAAATAGAAGACTTAAGGAACGGAATAACATACTTAGAGAAAGGCTACAAAGTTTTATCTATCACGCATGGTTCTTCATGCCATTTTGTTCAGAAATTAAAATCTTATTTAGATGAAGCCTGCCAAGAAATGGCTGAACTTGAAAAGTATAGAGCTTTAGAGGAGAGATATATTCAACAACATTAGATGATAAACTTTTTTTTTTTTTTTTGAGATAAAAATTGATATTTTTATAAATCCACTAACTGTAGAATATTTAAAGGGAAAAAAACTTTAATAAAGCTTTTTCTAAAAATTCTATGGTTATTTTTTTAGTATAATATGTTTTTATTAAAGTATGTTGTCAACAAGCGTGATTTATGTACGCTTGTCAAGTTGATAGTGATTGCGCTTGTAAAAAGTTGTTCATCTTTTATATAGTATTTTTTGAATGATAGTTGTTATGTTGTAGTATGAGCACCAAAATGCTAGATTACCTGTTCGATAAAATTGATATTTTGATCACTTTTTATTGAATATTTTTTGAAACTGTCCACACTATCCACTATGTATATTTATTTGTATTCTGGTAAATGCATCTTTTTTTTTGTGGCTTTTTTCTATGTGACACACCCTCAGTTAACCCCAGACAACTTTTTTTGCTTTATTGTGTTAAAAAGTTGTAAATTTAATGTAAGTTTTATAGTGTTTAAAACAAATGGTTCTTGCATGGCTTTATTTGTTCCTCCTCAAGATCTAGAGTCCCTTGATACACTTGTCACTGTAAAAGAACAGGAATGGCGTAGTCTTATGCAGCAACAAATAAGTAAACTTAAAAACGAGCTAGTCGAAAAAGATAAACAAATCAGTTTACAAAAAATACGCTTTAATAAACTCAAAGAGGATTTTGAGTACAACCTTGATCTACTATCAAAAAGAGACATTGAGCTTGAAAAGTACGATGTTATACTTGAAAAATTAAAAGAAAGTGAAAACTTGAAGGATGCTGAATTGAATGAAACAAGATTAAAAATGGAATTTCTTGAAGAAAAAATGTGTATTATCATAAAAGAAAATGAAAATAATCAAGACTTTTATAAAAAGGTAAAAATCTAGTAAATTGTAGAGCTATACAAAGTTTAATTATATTTTTTAAGTATAGAGTTTTATATTTTATTATATTATTAATTTTTTAACAGGACTTTTTAATAGTCTCGACTTTTTAAAAATCTAGTAAATTTTAGAATTATAAAAAGTTGAATTATATTTTTTTAGTATATAGTTTTATATTTTATTATATCATTAAATTTTTAAACTGGAAAAAAGGAAAAAAGCAAGATAGTTTTAGAACTACTTTGCGAGCTAATTAAGTATAATTAGTTCATTTTTTAAAACAGAAAGTAAAATCACTTCAAGATGAAATAAGTGTTTTGAAGGAGAAGAATGAAATTGAAATTTCAAAAGAACGTCTGCGATGCGAGGAGGTGAAAAATGTTTTTCATAAACAAATAAGGTTGGAGTTTAGTTTTATTATATAGTAATGTGTTTGTTGTGTCAACTTTTAGTTGTAGGTTTTGTATTTTTTTCAGTTTTTATATTTTATAGTAGTTTTTTTGTTTTTTTAGTTGTATTATTTGTTTTTTTAGTTTAGTATTTAAAAATTTCAAAGATAATTGTATTATGTAAAAAAATACATTGCTTGATATTTCATATTTGATTATTATTTTCTTTATATTGTAGTGAATTGCAGGAAAGTTTTGAAATGCAAAAAAAAAGTCTTATTTATGAAAATGAAACTAAGTTATGTCAACAAAAAAAAGATCATCAAGTTATTCTTGATGAAAAAGAAACTGAACTATTTGAAAACCAACTGAAGGTAATAAGTATTTAGGTTACAATAATGTTAAGAATGATGCATCTATTTGATAGGGTGTTTATGTCAACCCTCACATTTATTTATATTGAGATTACCTATATGATTTTAAATTATTAAAATAAGATACCATTTTATTCAATGTTTTTTTTATTTTGACTGATTTTTTCTTATGTTCTTTGATTTGGATATATTTTTGTTTTATAATGTTTTATTTGAACCAGTCAGCAAAAATAGACCTTAGCAAATGTGATAACCACACCCATATTTAACAAGTGTTTTTGCTAGCTCTGGTTAGGGCTTTTTAGCATACGCAGTACATATATATTTAACATTGCAACTTTAACGGTTTTTGTTAAAAACTTATTTTCTTTCAAATGAATTCTTTATTATTAAAAATTTCTAACATTATTTAAATTAACTTTTTTTTATAGTTTATATTAATTTTTAATGAAACTCACACTGAGCTAGATGTTTTTAATACAAATGTTTAATTTTTTCCTTACCTCAAAAATTACATTAAAATCACATTTATGTCTCAGTCGTCTAAGTCATAGAAAAATGATTTTTAACTTCAATATATATTAGTAACATTTTACTTGTAAGCTTGTAATATTACTCGAAGAAAGTGTATAAGTGTGAAAGGTGAAAAGGCGAAAGATTAATCTAATTTTGAAAGGTGTTTCACTTATACCGAAATAAAATTTGTTTATAGAAGTTTGGGCAGGATCATGATGATTGTGTGCATTTAAGATAGATTTCATATTTGGCATGCAGCTGTAACTTACTTTTATTGTGTTTCTATTAAAAATCTTATGGAGCTTGTGATTAACAGGAAAGTGTTTATCGATAAGGGATAAAATAATTTTTACTATACTTGTACTAACAATTTTGCTGAAAGGGGGTTAAACCAAATAATTTTGCTGAAAGGGGGTTAAACCAAATAATTTTGCATTTATGGTGCTTAGCATGAGTTGAATTTAAGTTAGGATGATAAGAAAGCTTATGAGCGAAACCTGATTTTAACAATATTTGGTTATACATGTCAGTAGAATTTTGAAAAATTTCTTCACTTGTCATGTCAATTTTCTGACCATAAAATAAATCTTTCTCAAACTTCTAATCGTATTAAATGAGCTGTAAATTGTCCGGTTTTCTACTAAATCTTCCACTAATAATACAAGTTTTGTTTAAAGTCTTTGTAGGTCTTCTAAGCTTTTTTGAGTTCATGTTGATATTATTTTGTTGAAGTAAAATATTTTTTGAAAATTTAAATGTGGTATAAAAAGTTAATAGTGTTTTCCACATAGAAACATATAAATAACTCATAATAATTCCACATAGAAACATATAAACAACTCATAATAATTCCACATACAAACATATAAACAACTCATAATAATTCCACATAGAAACATATAAACAACTCATAATAATTCCACATAGAAACATATAAACAACTCATAATAATTCCACATAGAAACATATAAACAACTCATAATAACTCCACATAGAAACATATAAACAACTCATAATAATTCCACATAGAAACATATAAACAACTCATAATAATTCCACATAGAAACATATAAACAACTCATAATAATTCCACATAGAAACATATAAACAACTCATAATAATTCCACATAGAAACATATAAACAACTCATAATAATTCCACATAGAAACATATAAACAACTCATAATAATTATTGAGTTATTAAGCTAATTATAAATTAGTTACGAGTTCAAATAAAAGCATGATATAGGCAAATAATAATGTTATTTATCCAATTATAAGCATGATATAACTATTAATGTTATTTAATAGGTAACAGCTGCATGATACATAAAAAAATTATAGCTAATGCACAACATGCAATACATAATAAGTAAACTAAATTGCTTTAAGTGTTTGCATATTATGTATCATCTTAAAAACAATTAGTTTGCGTATTAGTTTTGTAAATTGTTTTTTTATCAACCATAAAGTGCTGTTGTTTCCTGTAAACTTGTCAATATCATAACGATTAAACGATCTAAAAGTGTTGTTTTATTTCTGGACCTTAAGTGACTCTACTGTGAAACTTGCCAATTTTACTTTTGCGTTTGCCAAAAAGATTTAAAATTATTTTTAATTTATTTAACGGCAATTAATTAATATATATATTCCAACCATGTCAGTGGCTTAATATATATATATATATATATATATATATATATATATATATATATATATATATATATATATATATATATATATATATATATATATATATATATATATATATATACATACATATATATATATATATATATATATATATATATATATATATATATATATATATATATATATATATATATATATATATATATATATATATATATATATATATATATATATATATATATATATATATATATATAATTGATTTTTTGACAAGGTTAAATAAAAATAACTGCATAATTTTTACTACTAAAAATTTCATGCGATTTGCAATAATCAGGTAAAAAATACATTGGTTTTTTTGTTAAAAAGTAACAAAAGTTTTTTTTACCTGATGATTGCAAAATGCATGAAACTTTTAGTAGTAAAAATTATGTAGTTATTTTTATTTAATATCGTCAAAAAATCAGTTATACAGCTCTGATATCATTCATCAAGCACTCTTGCTGAATATATGCACACAGCAAAATTAAATTTATATATATATATATATATATATATATATATATATTGGTCCTTTAAATTATATATATATATATTGGTCCACCCAGATGCAATCTCAAACCGTTTGACCGGTAGGGGCGCTTAAACTGATGCGCCCAAATCAAAATTCTATAAGTTAGAAATTTCAATAATAATAAAGTCCAACATTATTAAATAAAAGCTAATAAACAAGTAAAATAGTTTGTCATTTTTGTTAGCTGTGCATTACATTTTATAACTATAATTATAGTTTAAACTTTATCAATGGCGCTTATTTTTTTTATATAATTATTGAATTTTATTAACATGAAATTTAGGAATTTTTAAATTGAAAAACTTAAATTGCATTGTTAGCATATTTTACACCACATTGAGATCTTTTAAGCAATAACAAAATTTACTAATGAAATCTAAATTCGTTATTTGAAAAAGATTATTTAGTTTCTTTATTATTTATTTTTTTCTCAAAAATATTTTATGCATAACATAATAATCTTTTGTTTATTTTATCACAATTTAGTTTTTTGTTGTTGTTTTTTATGTATTAAAAAAACCCTATTAAGACATGATTTATGTTCATAAATAAAACTTATGTCATACGATCTTAATGAGATTTTGAAGGAGAAAGATGAAGATTTAATTCCATTGGTGAAAAAAATTCTTTACGACAGAAACAGTTCTCCTTAAACACTTTCTTTAAACAAATAATGTTTTATGGTTTCTTTTGCACAATAGGGTACTGCTTTTGTTATATCAAATTTGTCTAAATATCAGTTCCACAACCACTAACGTTTTTAAGAAATTCTTTTTTTTTTCTGTGCAGTATTTTTCCAGATATCAATTTTGATATTCCTTATGTTACTTTAAAAACAAAAATCTATTTTTAGAACACAAACTCTATGCTATTAAATCTATGATAAAGACTTTTGTAAAATCTGAACATTTTTGCAAAATAAATTAGTTTGCAAATAAATTAAAAGGAAATAATTATTTTTTAAAAAAGTGTTGCAAAACTATTTTACATTTCTTCAAAGTTAAGTTTAAATTTTTAATTTTTTAAGAGCATATCTTAGACCTTGTTATGAGATTTTGATGCGTAATGGAAAAGCACAACCTGAATAAATGTAACTTTATTTAAAAAAAGATATTTCCATTGTTAAAATTTTAATAGCAACAGTTGCGTATTTTAAAATACCTCATTGTAATTAAATTCAAAAACACGTTAGATATTATTGTAAGTCTTTTAAATGAAATATCTTTAAATTAAACAATATTGTTATAAAAAAAAGTTATAAATTAAATTTAAATGTCGATTAAAAAACAATTTCCTTGTTTTAAAACCTTAAACTTATTTACATTTAAATTTAAATTTTAAATTTAATTTTTTTCTTTAAAACATTCTTTTTACAGTTATTTTTTTAAAAATGAGTTCACACTTGTTTATTGTTGATTTTCTTAAAGGAATTTAACACAATCATATTGGGTTTTCCCCTTTTTAAAAAAACCTTTGCCTTAACTGGCTTTTGATTAAATTAAAAATTGTAATTAAACAAAGATAACTGCTTTTTGGCTTTGTTTTTTTTTTATTTCCATTAAAAAATTTTATTTTTATGTACCGTGAAACCTAAAGTATTTTTACTATTTCTTAATAAATCCAAAAAGAAAAATAGTAATTTCGGCTTTAATATGTTATTAGCAGAACTTGTTTTTAACAAATATCAGTATAAATTTTAAAATTTTCTTATATCTATAGCACTAGTATTTAGATGTAAAATATCTTATATCTATAGCACTAGTATTAGCGGTTAACTTTTTTTACAATAATTTAATGTATATAAACAATATCAAAACAATTGAAATATTCCAATTGATTAAAGTTTTTTTCAAAAGTAAATTGCTGAACATAAAAGTAAAATAATTTTTTTGTAGTAAAATGCATACTGCATAGTGCTTCATAACTAGGTCTAAATTCAAAATCACCAGAGGGGGAGGGGATTGGCAAGAAACCCACCAACTTTTTTTCGAAAGGATTTTTTTGTTATTTATTTTTACCTGAATTGCCCAAACTAACCCTGAGTATATATATATATATATATATATATATATATATATATATATATATATATATATATATATATATATATATATATATATATATATATATATATATATATATATATATATATATATATATATATATTAGGGTGGTCCAAAAAACAACATTTTTGAAACAAATCTGCTAAATGTATTCTATATAATACAAAAACACTAGGTTTACAATTTTTTTGAAT